AGTAGTAGTAGTAGTAGTAGTAGTAGTAGTAGTAGTAGTAGTAGTAGGAGCAGCAGCAGCAGCAGCAGCAGCAGCAGCAGCAGCAGCTGCAGTAGCATACTAGTAGTACTAGTAGTATTGCCGGATCAAGGTTCAGTCAATCCAGTCTTCCCAATTTGAATTCCGGTGCTCATGGCCATGCAGGTATCACTTCAGCAGCTCAACGGCGAAGTCATGGTTCTTAGTGCCACTCCACAGATGACTGGCCTGGAACTCAAGGTGTGGATCAGAAAGCAACGGCGGTGGAAGACAACAGGGGTGGAGGTTGTTGTCGGAGATGACCAGTGGCTGAACAACAACGACACGAAACTGCTGGCATTTCTGTGGATTCGAATTTGACCGTCATTTTCAAGGAATCCATTCCACTGAGATGCCCTGATCGAAGCGGTATGATTGCTCCGTCTGACAGCGCGACTAACTTGGATTCTTTGAGGGCGGTTGAAATCCCGCAATATGTGACAAGAATTGTGCATTCTGATTTTCAGAACTGCAGCTCGTTGGGAAGCGTCACCATCCCGGACTCAGTGACCCACATTGGGGACAATGCCTTTCAGAACTGCAGCTCGTTGGAAATTGTCACCATCCCCAACTCAGTGACCCACATTGGGGACAATGTGTTTCCGGCGGACTGCAAGTTGTTGCATGACTCAGCCTGGTTCGGCTGGCTTTGTCACGTATGATACGTATGGAAATGCATCTCGTTGGGAAGCATCACCATCGCGGAGTCAGTGGTTCAGCTGGCCGTCGCGTATGGGATTGCTGCCGGGGACGCCCTCGTTTCATTGAAACATCGCTGCCAACCGTTCCCACCGTTTCATCGGGCCAACTCCGAACAGCGCACGAAGAGCAGGTGTTTTTGCTGGTCCGAAAGAATGAGAACTAGGTCTGAAGAGGTTGTATTTCTATTGGAGCGAAATGACACTTTGTGTACCGAAGTGGTCGTGTCATCTTGTGTACCGACACCCGGGCAAGGTCGGTCTCTCTCTCTCTCTCTGATTGCTGGGGTCGGTTCGACCGACCCCCGACCCCCGGCACGTTCGGTTCGGAAAATACGTAGACCAGTCTACCGTCTACCCGTCAGTTGGGGAGGGTTCCCTATGAAAATACACACCCAAGTATCTCTTCCTGCACCTCCAAGTGGGAGGTTCCTGCGACTCCACCTGTCCCTGGTTTTCTTGTAACGAAGACTCGACGACCCGAAGACCAAACGGTGTGCGAATCCTCAGAGGTTAAACGCTATACAAAATGAGTTTCACTCAAGACAGAGATTGGTTCTCATCATCATTTTTTGTGCAGCCGAACGGGGAAACGAGAGACTTTTCGATACACTAGGAGACCCTCCTGCAGCTCTGTGAGAAGTTGGCTGGCCCCGTGGTCATCCAGAAGGTGCAATCGAGTGATCCAGAAAAGACATGGAACATCATGAAACGACCAGTTATGAAGGATACCCTTTTTTGAAGTGAGCAAAGAAAGCTCGTGAGCAGATAGTTTTGGTTCACAAAGCATTCGCATCCTTTCCTTCATGTCAAATCTCTGACTTTCCAGGGCCTTTGTCCCTTCCTCCCCTTCCATCCCTCGACCCACCGTCGTAGGAAGAGCGGGCGGCGCATCTCCACGTGGTGCGTGTTGAACGCGCTGCGTTCCACGCCGTGCGTTCCGCGTTTTCCTGCGCCGCGGAGTTCCGCAGGGTGCCGTGGACCAGATGGCGCGGCCGGGCAGCGAGGTCTTGAGCTGCCGGGAGGAAGGCGCACCACGCCGGCCAGGCGGGGGCTTTCGGTGGCGGCGGGGTTCCCGGTCTTTGCTGGACTTGGGTGGCAGGTTTCGAAGAGCTCTGCCCGGAAAAGGATCCTTTTGGGATTGAGTGGTGCAGGAATCCCCGGCGCAGCCGAAGAGCAAGCTTTCACTTTCCTTTTTGGGGTCTTCCAACTTCCAACTCCTTGTTTTAGGAAGAGTGTAGGCCCAGATACGACCGAATGCGATTTGGAAGCGAAGTTTGTTCACTCGCAGATATGGCTGAACGGATCGGAATGGGTGGCCGAGGCCTGGCCGATCCGTTGCAACGCCTTTTCTTCCACCTTCTGCGTGTTCTTCGCACGAACGCGAAGAAGACGTTCGTCTTCGCGCTCGCGCGGAGGCGGCTTGGGGGACTTCCTGGCTGGAAGTTGCTTGGCACGGAGAGGATTAGGCTTGATCGGAGAGTTGGGAACGGCTCAAATCGGAACGGCCGGTTCTTTTTTTGGGAGAACCTCTGAACCCAAACTAGCCGCAAAGAACAGGGTACAATTTCTGGTGTAGGATGTGAGTTTATATATTGTCATGAGGACTGGTCTATTTCCCTTCGCACCCAGAGGCTTGTTTGCCTTAGGTCTCCCTATTGGAGCTACACCCAGGGCCTGGGATTTTCTGCCACCTTCGAAGCCGGGTGACCCGAGGCCTAGCGGTGCTCGTCGGCTGGGCGGCGGCCCGGCGGAGGGATCCCATGATCGCCTGCCAGTGCGCGTGTATGCTGGTGCGGCGAGCCTGCAAGGCGCCTACGAAACCGCTGGGTGTGTGGGGCTTAGGAGTCACATGGAGTTGGGTGGTTTTCTAGTCCGTGAGTGGATGTGACACAGGCACCCCTTTGTGAGTGCTGGGAGATGTTTTTCCAATTTGTTTTCCCGCGCTACGAAGATCTTGTTTGAGGGATGCATGGTGTGGGATGGTTTTGGGGTCAGAACCAGTGGAAGCTGAGGCTCTTGAAGATGTTGTGCACATGTCCATTTCACGTGTGTGTTTTCGATGCTACCGCCCCGAAAGAGTAGACAGAACGGCCCTTCTCCGTGAGTGATCATGTTGTGTTTTTTTTTTTAAACTTCGGGTCACGAGGAATAGTCCCCCAAAACGAAGTTTTTGGCCAAGGCCTTTAGTCCTTTAGGAACCATGATGATCTGGAACTGTGGAAATCGATGGACGCGTGGTCCTGGCGTCATGCAGTACGGTCACCAGATTGAATTATTACTTTTGGTTTAGACCTCCGCAAATCATCTTAAACCTTTCCAAACATTGGTTCCTCATATGCATATACTGTATATAGTATATAAAATTGAAAGGGCTACGCCCCCTGCCGCCGACCCCTGGGTCGAAAGGACCTGGGGGATCGCGGTGGGGGGAAGCGTTCAGAGGGAGGTTGCTGTTTGATCCGTCGATGTCGGCTCTTCTTATCATTGAGACGCAGAAGGTCCAAAGTGTCGGACACACAAGCTCCTCCCCTCAACACCATGCTCGTACCCTCCCTCCAAGGCTCCCGGCAATCTCCTCCGCCACGCTTTTCCACCATCTAATTCGAGACCAAAAATCATCAAACAATTGTCCTCCCAGTGCGGCCCCAGATTCTCTAACTCAACACCGTGCTCGTACCCTCAACACCATGACAACTCGTACCTCCTCTCACGCACTCCCCGTGCCGAATCCGCAAGGGGTCGGCAGATATGCGATACTATAAAGTTGGATTCCTGCCATCCACCTCTGTCTCTGCCCCGAAAAGACACTCCCTCCATTCGAACCCGCACCCAGTGCACCGCGGTCGTCGGTCGTCTTGGCAGATCGCCTTCGAGAAGAAGAAGCGCTCCATGGTGGCGCCCGATGTGTTGGACGAGGCCGGAGGTGTGATTCGAAAGGGATTTAGTTGGGGAACCAATCTGAGTTCAGGGTCCTGTCTTTTCATCATTTTCATAGGGGCTTTAGTTCCCCAAACAGTTTGCTGTTTGGGTTCTATCTGAGAAAAAGAGCTGGCCACACTGACTGGCCGCGCCTGGTATAATTTAGTATGGGTCTAGTGTAGCACTGCCGAAACAGCACGCCCGAAGCAGTGCTGCTTCCGGATCGTGCCCGAGGATGGGTTTACGGTTGACGAATTATTTGCATAAATAAGAGTCATATATTATGATACCAGCACCACGGAAGGTGGTTATTGGATGGAACATACATAGTCAGGGGTGTCCATAAACCCCCCCTTCCGTGGTGCTGGTAGCTGGGTGGTGGGTGTGCCTTTTTGATAGGGAGCCACTGACACCCAACTTCGCCACTGGCTGGGTAGCCTCGTTCGCTCGAGCGAACCCAGGGGGAGACTCCCGAGCCAAGCCACACATCCGAAAGGCAATCGATCCGGGAGGTGCCCCCCAAGTCTACGAAGACCAAGTGGTTCGTGGGTGAGCCTCCCAGGATCGGTTCGTGGGTGGGTCTCCCAGGATCCATTTTTTTTGGCAGCTCAAACGTTGTGAAAAGGTGGAGATGTTGCGTGGTGATAACGGCCGTGTAGATGTCACCACCTACGTTGGGCTCAATCATTTTCAACAGTATTCCAATTCCCATGATTTCCCTAGTCCTGACTCCAGAATCCTTTAGCTGGATGGGGAGGTTTTGCTTCTTCATCTTCGTTGTGCACCCTGCTTCTTTCATGAAGCTTCGACCTTCCAAGAGAGGTTGAGAGACCTGAACTGGGACTTGATGGTGGTGTCGTACAAAAAGGGTCTTCAATCTCTCGAAGCTTCACCAGGTGGGTCTCGCCTTCGAGGAGCTTTGCCCTTCGAAGATGTGAAGGCTTGGGAAGCTGAAGATGTGTTTTTTGAGTTGCTGGGGAAGGCCCGTGAGACCCTTTCTTTTTTTTTTTGAAGTAACTTTTTTGGCCGTAAACATTGGGCAGTTTGCTTGTCACAAATAAGGGTTGTTTTTTGGGGGTGGCTCCTCGAGGAAAAACCCACGTGGTTTGATGGGTGGGCATGGCTCGAAAAAAGGCGAGACAAATAGCATGACCAGCTCTCGAGCTTCAATCAAAAGGCCTTAAAGAGCAAATGCCCTGGTACACCTCGAGTCCACTCACGAATCACTCTGGAGATACGGCAGCATGCCGCAGGTGAAGCGTCCTGCGGCCTGAGCCGAACGCCCTTTCGGAAAAAGCGGCCGAGCGAGAGCCCATGATGTTCCCATGTGCGGCTCTAAAAAGATTTGCACCCTTTCATTAATGATCCACATCATCCACGAAAGAGTTTGAGACGCCAACGAAAAAAGAAGACACACGAAGCATTGTTGTTCCAAATCACGTGAAACCCTGTCAACCCCCCCGATTGGCGACATGAGCAAGCGTTTCCCGTCGTGTGGATCTCGAGGTCATCGAGAGCGAGCCCTTCGGTCTGAGATGGTTTGGGGCAATTCGGCACCGCAGCGGTCTGACCAGCTTCGTGGGGCTTCGGGTTGCACGGATTAGTATAGTAAGCAACCAAAGGAGGCGCCGGATTAGGAGGTCGTAGCTTCACAAATCACTTTGGAATCCCAAAAGAGATTTGAAGATGCTGGCAGGTATTAGTTTCTTTTGATATATTTGTTTATCCAGTAAGTGGCATTTTCTTTGAGAGTCTGGCATCCAGACTCTGAGCCTTCGGCGAGGTAAGAGCTTCACATGCAACCTGCTTGGCTGCCAGACACTGATCGAGTTCCAAGCGGTATACGAGCTGGGTCATCCTAGGTCCTTGACCTCCAGTTCGAAAAAGGGGGGAAGGACAGGAGTTAAAAGCAAACTACCATTGCAGATCTCTTTCGTTGCGCACCTCTTTTCACCAAGGCTCCAGCGGGCCCGCCGCCGCCGCAGGGCTTTCAGGCAGCGGACACGGGAGTGCTCGGTAAGTCGAAGCCCCGATTGAATCGTTGGGAGCGCTCGCTTTGACCCGATGCAGACCTCGATGAGTTTGGATTTTGACATTAAGGGCTGCGGAAAGCCTTTTACTGGAAGACTGATTCATGGGGGTTCAGTCTGCCGAGGTTCTTTTAGGCGGTCAATGATTGCTAGCCTGCTGGAATCAAGGACCACTTCGGCCACTTTCGTGGGACATACTTGTCTTGCTATACTTCATCTCCTGCTTGCACAGATGGAATGGTCACCCCCTTGCCAACCCGGTGGTGGACGACGGGACGCCCGTGGCCGCGCGGGACGCCCGTGGACGCCCGGGATGCTGTTGACGTGTCTCGAAGGTGCGGCTCAGCAACATCCCTCAGGAGCTCACTGCCAAGGACCTCGCGGAGGCGGTGTCGGGGGTGTGAAACGGCAAGGTGAAAATGGTGGTGAAGGGTTTGGGATCTTTGGATGGTTTTTGTTGGTGGTTTCCACACTCAGCATGTGAGAGTTGAGAATTTTTGGATGGGTTTTGGGCTTTCTTGGGTCATTTTGAGGCGGAGAAGACTCGGAACTTTTAATGACTTCATGGAGAAGGTCATTTTGTGAGGTTTGGCAGTGGCAGCTGGTGGAGCCAGGAGTCAATTTGAGTCAATGTTGGTTCACGAGGTCATGTTGTGCAGAGATCTATATTCTTTCTTGGCATATTTGAAGAAGGTGCCTTCTTAAAAAGACTCTGATGTTCATAACTGATCCATCACTTTGACTGCTTTTTTAGACACAAGGCCTCCTAGTCAGACCACTAGACCAAGTCGGGGTCTCCCTATTTGAATACATAATCCGTACTTTGAGAGTCTTCACGGTCAGAGCTTTGCCACCGCGACCCAATATCCCAGCAGTCGCAGGCCTTCACAGAAGTGTCTAGCAGTCGAGTGGAATCCGTCGGGGCACTCGGGACGAGAAACGGGAAGGCTTGCAGGGAGAGCAGGTGGGAAGTCATTTGGGGAAAATGGGCCTGGCTTTGTGTTTGATCAGGTGCACCTTTTGATGTTGGTACTGTATATCCTGTTTTTGTTTGGATGACACCATGGTTCTTCACTGACTGGCTAAACATGTTTCTAGCTCCACCGTTAGCTTTTTGCCTTTCTTTGCAAAGTCAGTGAATCCCGCTTTTTGCCCTTGAAAATACGGAGCCCCTTTTTGCAGATCGAGAGACCTCAACTGTTGCCAGATTCAGCCAGATATTTTGCTGCCAGACACTTGAATACTAGAGGGTTACTCATCCAAGGGCAGGCAAGACACCCAGGATGATTTAGGATGCTTTGTTTCAGTTCCAGCCTTTTAAAGTTTTACTGTTTGGCAAAGCCAAACGAACCACGAGCAAGCCAGAGAAGCCTCAGAGGCTGGTGAGTTTTGGGAATGGTCAGGTCATCTGCGTTTGTTTTGCAAGTTGACAATCGAAGAAAGCCAGCTGCCAGCTTTTAATAAGCACTGGGCCCTAGAATCCCACCACATCCTGGAGAATTTCAGGACAATTCCTGTAGCGGTGCAACCGTCCATCGCCTAAGCGCCTAAGCCCAGACAAAGCAACGTCCAGCGCCTAAGCGCCCAAGCCGCCCAGACAAATCAACGTCCAGCGCCTAAGCGCCTAAGCCCAGACAAAGCAACGTCCAGCGCCTAAGCGCGTAAGCCCAGACCAAGCAACGGCCAGCGCCTAAGCGCCTAGGCCCAGACAAAGCAACGTCCAGAAGCCCAAACAAAGCAACGTCCAACGCCCAAGCGCCGCCACATTGGAGTAAAGCAGCTGGGCTAACTTTGGAACCACTATGATTCGTGTGGGATGAGCATGGGTGGCCGGTCGCTGCTTCGACTATACCCCGACGTTTTATTCCTTCAGAATTCGTTGCAGTGAACGCTTCTGATGCTTCAAGCATTTCCAGGTTTAGAGCGTGCCTCACTGCTGGATGCAATGAATCATATGATTTCGTTGGCCGGGTCGAGTCTGTGTCTAAATCATTCACATCTTCATACATACCATCATTGGTATTTTCACCGCAGGGTTTACGAGTTCCTTGGAAATCAACAAGGCTTTATGGTAGGTGTCCGGTGAAAAAAAGGCAACAAAAGGTTTACTCTTGTCATTTTAACGACTTTGGGAACATCACCCTTTTCTCTGCGAAAACCTGCAGGCGCCACCTGCAGGTGAGCTTGAGATGGTCGGTCCGAGCGGTCTGGATGGTGTTTACTCCGAAGTCTTTTAAAAACCTGAAACCCACGAATGGGAAGAAGCAGATGGGAAGAAGCATCGGAAGTCGAAGTCCTCTCCCAGGATCCTTGGTTTTGGGTAAAAACGAACACTTACTGTAAATGATAGAAACAAGGACCACGTTTGGTTCAGTGCTGAAACTGATGTATTCGCAGTCGATGGTTTAACTGCAGATTGAGGCACCAACCTCAGCATTTCCTGAACACACTAGGTTTGGTCGATCCACCAAAGAAACACCGGGGAGCTCTCTGAGTACAGCTGGTTCTGCCCACGTCAAGCGCCACTCCCTCCTTCGTTGCGAGGCCTGGCGTTTCAAGCAAGTGGCACTTCAAGCAAGTGGCACTAAAGAATGTCAGACGATGTGCCAGAGAGAACGTCAGAAGATACGCCAGAAAGAATGTCAGATGAAAAAGTCAGAAAGAATGTCAGAAGATATGCCAGAAAGAAATCTGAGGCGGTATGTGGTATAACACATACTGCCTAGTCAAGTTTGCGCTTGTGTGAGCGCCCCTTCGTATCACAGCTCGATTTCGCCGCCTGAAGAATATTCGCCCTGCTCGGTAGAGCCTCTTCCGCTAGACCTTGGAAACACAAACAAAACTCTCAGATCTTGAGATTTTTAGACTTCAGGCAGGGGAGATATCCGTTTGCGTAAAGCAAATCCATTTGACAGTGCGCGGCTGGTGCTAGAGACTTTGCATGTTCCCGCAGCAGTTAGCCATCATGTCGAGCCGGAAACATGTCTGGACGACAGCGTGACCATTCACAAGGAGGCGGCGGCGGCTCCAGCAGCGCCGGCGCTGACAAGGCTCGCCGCTTAATCTCGGTGGGTTGGCTTCCACACTGAGATTGACCGGAGGTGCGCTCTGGGCCGCATGCGCCGCTCGATGGAGGGGCAGACCGCAAGCGAGTTGGCTGTGTCTACATGCTTGGGTTGTAGGCGGCTTGTCTCCGAGTGTGTCTCCGGCTGTGTCTAGTTGCTTGGCGTAGGTCTCCGGTCTGTGTTTAGTTGCTTGGGTCCTGGGTCTCCGGCTTGTCTCCAATTGTGTTTGGTTGCTTGGGTCGTAGGTCTCCGGCTTGTCTCCGCTTGTGTTTTTGGCTCTGTCTACTATATAGTTGCTTGTGTCGCAGGTCTCTGGCTTGTCTCCGATTGTGTCTGGTTGCTTGGGTTGTAGGTCTCTGGTGTGCTCTCGACTTGGGTGTGAATTCATTTTTGTGTTTATGTCAAACAATTTTGATGAGGCCTCCAACTACCTCGGCCACGCCAGGACCCTCCTGCACCTTATCCGGTACATGATGGGGTCCCTCTTCTCCGTGATCGCTGAGCCTGTGCCTGCTGAATCTGATAATGCTTTGGGAGTTACTGTAACTCAAGCTTGAGTTTGAGGACCTTCTACAACATGAAGACGGAAAAAGCTTGGCCCACGGTGCCACGGATGAATCGTGCTGACAAGCTCCTTCTCCTTCAGAAACTCGGATCTCCTCTCACTTCAGGAAAGGCATCAGGAAGCCCAAGCTTTTGGCCTGCTGCGGCTGCGGTTGAATGCCGGCCTGTTCTTGCAGACGATCCGCAGCTTGGATGTTCGTGACTTCGAGTGATGGAGTGTATGAGCGCAAGGTGAATCATTGAATTAGTATGTGTACAGGAAGCAGTGTGGCTGGTTGAGGTGAACCAGAACCTGAACCCGATCTTGAGTTGATTGTGTTTAGTCTTGGTGACTGACCAGGAGCTAGATTGGCTAGCGTGAGCTTGCGTCATCATCTGCTGGACTTCGTTTTTCCAACAAATGTCCACTACCACGAGAGTGTGTAGCCATCGCGCGTTGTTGCTCCGAAGCGACCATCCAAGCACATATCTTTGCGATCTTTGGATTTTTCTTGGAAAAATATGAAGTGGTCTTGCTGAGCAGGTGTACAGAGCTGGCTTGTTTGTTTATTTTCCACTTGCTTGCAATATGTAGGGCTTAATTAATAGAGTTTTTTCACATGATGGACTTTGTGAGCAGTACAATAAATTGAGCTATAACGTTGACAGCGCGACTACTTATGAGCAGGGCCGCGCCCCCCAAGTAGAGGCGTGAAGAGGCTTAGAGACGTCTAGAGGCTTAGAGGCGTTTTTAGGCTTAAGCATCGCAGCGCCTAAGTTGAGCAAGCGGCTCAGGACACGAAGAGGCCTAGACGTGTGAACAGGATTGGCTTAGAGGCGTTTAGAGGCTTAAGCGCTTAGCGCCCAAAATCGTAAAAAGGAACCAAGGGTGCTAGGAGGCTCAGAGGCGTGAAGAGAGTCCTAGAGCCCAAGCTGAGCGAGCGGCTAGGGACATTTAGATGTATGGACTCATCAGAAGAGTATAGACTCGTTTGGACCGACGTTTGGACCGCCGGCACCGCCCCAGGTGGACCTCCTTCGGGATGGCGCGGGCCGTGCCACCGGTGACGCCGTGATCATCTTCGCGGCGATGTGGGGGGCCCTCAGAAAGAAGCCGAGCCATTGAAGAACGGAGCACATGGTGATGGCGGAGATGATACTGGACATAACAGAGTCTAACTATATATAGTCTGCCAAGTATTGGAGATTTCATTGGACCTTCGGGACGACTCAACATGTTCCAATGAATTTCAACTGCTGCTTGGAAGCCCAAAAAGGACGAGCGGAACGCGGTCCACGCTACGGGAGCTGTGCCGCCGCCCCACGCAATCGTCTAAAGGCCAGACGCACAGAACGCGGTGCGGCGCTACCACGGCGGCGACCTGAACGGCCGGCGCCTGGAGGCCGTTTCCCGCGGGGAGCGGCAAACCCAGGGATGTGGTGAAGCCGCAATGTAGAGGATGGGTTATTGGACACTATATCAGAAAAATCCTAATATATTTCAAGATAAGCAAACAAAATCATCCCAGTCCCAGCCGGATTTTTTGACGTTGTGGGTGTGTCATTTTTAACATTTTTAACAGGTTCTTTCAACTATGATTACGCATGTGTTTTTGTTAAAAGCCGTTGGCAGCTATTGTTTAAAACAAAAACAAACCAATAATAGTAACAAAACACGTCGAAGAAGCGCTTCAGCAAAAAACGTAGACACTATTTCAGGGGTGTTGTTCATTTGAAAATTGTTGTTTACTGATTAAAAAACACTCAATGAAACATCTAATCCACCAAAAAGACACTACAAATAACAAACATAAGTTGAACGCAACTAAAACCAACAACGCATAATCACCCCAACCCAAGAATGTCGTCAGCAAAAACGTCGGCCCCCATTTTGCCACGCGCCTCTGCGACCGGTTGGGGCGCCTTCTCCACGTGTGGCGCCAGGCCATCTATGAAGGTGAGGTCAAGGGTAGATGACGCCCGGCCGCGCGGCGGCCGCCAGAGAGTTCCTGCGCGCCGGGAACGGGAACGGAGCACCGGAGCTTTTGTTGGAAGAGGAAGGGACCTGTTGACAAAGAGGATTCCTTTCTTTTGGGGATGAAAGGTGGACCGGAGCACGCATGTTTTGTTATTTTTCATTTTCGCGGTTGTTTCACTCGTGGTGACACTTCACTTTTCTTGTTGCTTTAAACAAGGAACCAGGTGCAGCTTGCCAGGTGTTTTGATCCAATGGCTCCCCCAAAGGCAGAAAAGAAAGCAGTCTTCCGACTGCAGTGGTGCTCGGACCACAGCTCCGGTGCTCGGACCCGCGGCGAAGCGAGGCCGCCCTTCGCCGACGGAACTCCGAACGCTGTTGACCCACGCAGCGGCGGTTTGTTTCTTCTGGCACCCGTTGCAACCCCCCGTCGATCGGCCTAGCTATCTTGCCAATTAGATTGGGTGATGGTTTATGGTTTGAAGTCTCCAAATTGAGATATAGACCTCCTCACATACCAAAGATATCAAAGAGAAGTGATTGGATAGGTAAAAGGATAGGTAAATTTTAAGTCTATTTAAATTTAGCAAACGCGTATGTGATTGAAGAGTTCTTTTTCGGCTGCCAAATTCAAGTTTTGAATCTGTTAGGATGGTTTCATGCTCCCAAACATCTTATAGTGGCCTGTCCAGGCGATTGGTTCGTGGCAACTTGGTAACCTTAGAAGACCTCTATACCGAGAAACTGAGGGCCAAGGCAATGCACGACTGTTTGCTGCACAACGCTTCCTTCATCCATAAGGGCGTCGCCTACCATGAATTTTCATCCCACAACGACCCCGCCCAGAAGGCTTGGAATGCCGGGTGGGCTGCCCACTGGTTCTTCCATCAGATATGGCTTTCCACGGGACCCGTGTCCAGGACGCGAAACAACCCCCCACAGCCAGAGGTTGCAAGATCGTTGGCTTGTGCACAGCAACCTGAATCCACCCCATCCAGAGCCAAGTGGCAGAAGAGTTATGTGGAAGATGAATCGATCATTCGTGGATGATGAATCAATGCGGATGACCCAGCCTACTTCATTCAGTGGCTCGCCGCACCGCATGGTGGCATCACATTTGCGGCGAGCCAAAGCTGAAGCAAGATCTGGTAGATCCACAGTAGATCGATGCTGTCGTTTCTCAAGTCAGAACGAACAGAAGGCTTTGGCTTTGGCGCTTCCGACGTTTGGTTCTCAGACATTTTCCGGGCAAGACGCTACCAGATCCAAATGATCCAGCTCCTGACAGCCTGGACCCGGAGCCTCACGTCCCTTCGCGGGCTTTTGTCAGACCATGACAACATGGTGCGGAACATTCCTTTTCTTCGTTACCAGTGGGTGAACTCCGATGTGAACCTGGGAGGACATGGAACCGGTCCGGTGGGTCCCCAATGGCGTAGTGAATGACCACGGCGACCTGAAAGAACCAAACATTGGAAGGTTTGGATGAGGAAACAAAGCTGGGGTTGTTGGAATCTGAGAGGCTTTGGCTTTTTAAGCTTGGGCCAAACTCAGAATTGAGTCTCCAAACTCTATCGGTTTCGCTAGCGGCTAGCGGGTTCTGAGCGGTTCGAACTTGGGGGGCCCAACAGGCTGTGCGCAATCCTTCCTCAGCGACACGAGACGTGGCCGGAACCGGCCCGCGCCGAAGCTGACGACCGCCGAACCCGCGATGGTGCCATCGCGACAGATGATCGACGGTCGGAACTCACCGCCTTAGAGGGATTGAGGGAAGATGCAACGTTTGGCCTCACTGGTTGACATTCTGGAGACGTTTTGCAATGCTAGATGTTCAGGGTTTCTGGAGACGTTTGTAAGGGTCCACGACTAATCTCAGTCGTTGGCGTGTCCTCAATCTCAGTCTCAGGCGTCACACAGGGCATGGCGTCATCCCCTGTCACAGAGCGCGTTTCGCAGCCAAAAAAGGAAGGACGTCCCGGAGCAATCGTTTTACGTGCCATGCCCTAAGAGGCTTATCCAGATGACGGCAGAATACAAAGACCGGCGAAGCAAGATCCTCAATTTGGCTCTCAACTCAGCTGCAAGAGGTTTTTCACACCCGAAAAGGTAGGCTCGTGGGGTCTGAACGGTTACAGTTGCCTGGTTACCAGTGTTCTCCAGTCCACTTAGCAGGTTTTGGGGGTTTTGCTGCCCACCGGCCTTTCCGGATCGGTCGACGCCTGCTGCGCCATACGACTGCAGCGCGTTCCAACACCGCATCCGCAGTCGCTTTGGCTCGTCTTCGGCCAGTTCCCCAAACACGTGGGTTTGGGTGGCGCTTTCTCTGGCGCGGTGGCTGGGTGTGGCTGGGTGGGAAGGCACGAAATATCATGACATGGCTCGCAGGTAAGTTGACGCACAGTCGTTTGAGGTCATCGATGCTGGGGGCAGACTCGTGGCAAAGTCCAGACTGATATCGAATCATGCTTTCAAGCGGAAGCAATCGGATAGAAAGATGTGTGGCCCTGAGGTGGCACATCTCCCCTGTTGCGGTTGAGCCCTACAGCCAAGCAAGCAATTGATTTTGCAGACACCAGGAAGGGATTCGTTGGTACGTCGTAGTTTAGGTGATGGTTTGCCCGCCTAGGATTCTCGGGGTTTTCGGGCCAAAAAAATGGTCACCTCACTAAACTATGCTGGTGCTTCCTGTCTGGGTGTCCAATGATGACCCATAAGCTGCAGTGTAAGGCGTGGCTAGTGTCGGAGGCGGAACCGGACCTGCACCGAGTCAGCGCCAATGTCGTCGGGGGTGAGAGCGAAGATGTCGTGACATAGGCTGATGGCTGCCTTCATTGGAGGTGCTGGAGCGGTGGAAGTTGGGGGGGAACTCTAGCACAGCTTTGTGGAACTCGAACTTGAGTGAACTCGGATCCCCGCCACCCTTTCCACTATAAAATAACTACCAACATGGGGCGACATGACCTCACCATGGAAAAATGCACAAAAATGTGTTCTAAGAACAAGAACGTTGGTAGAATCCATCCTCATCCTCCGGATGAGCCACTATATAATCACCACCGCCACCGCCACCGCTCAGCTTGAAGAATCCAACGACCGCATCGATCGTGGTGGATCCAACCTGTTTCTCAACGAGGGATCGATGAAAAACGTGTACCTATGTGTACTTTCTTCACGAACGAAGACGTAGTGACATAGACGAACCACTTGGAGGCATCCGCATGAATTTGAGACCTATATCAATCCATCATAGTTTGCGCGTATATAATATATTATGAAATCTACACCGTACACCATCCTATCCCTTCCTGCTCGCCCTCCTCGATGTCGCGAGCCCGCCGCGCCAGGCGTCCGATCGCCCGAGGCCGGAGTGGCCGTTTTCCAGCCCAAAACGGATATAAAAGCATTTCCATCGAGCGACCAGGGTAGCATGGGTTGGATTTCTTGAAAAAAGTACCCGCAATCCCCCCAAATCTGGGTTGGATCCCGTGTCCACATGGTGAGCAGGATAGTTGACATTTGTTGACCATGTGCGGCTGGAGTTGGGCGTAAAATCCGAAGACCCGAAGAACCGAGTTGCCGTGCCATCCGTTCCGGACTCCGATGCACCGGATATGTCGAAACCTTTTTAAGCCCCAAAACACCTCATGGGTCGAAGATGGTCGTATCTAGGCGCAGTTTTGATTGCAGTCTTTCATATCTCGTTTTCTTCACCAGCTCAAGATATGTAAGAAAAAACATAGAAAAGCAACCCCTTGTTCCGGAAACGGGCTATTATTTTGCATGGTCAGAACTCAGGCATCATGGCCACAAAATATGAATTGATTATAAATGACCCTTATCGTTGAGATCTTCTCAACCATGTGTGCCTTGTTTGGGTTTCATGCTTCTCCTTGCACTTTTGAAATGTGAGATCCAGTCAAAGGCCATTCGGCGAACGGCAGGTCCGAGGTCCGGCACATGCCGTACCAGTGCCGACAGGCTGGTCTGATGGGGGTGTTGGTGGCACGGGGTGTTGACGGGGCTGGTTTGATGGGGTTGGTGAGGGATCTATAAGATTGAAGTAACATGTTCTTGATCAGCAAACGTCGAAGTTTCATCAGTGTGACAGGTGTGGTTGCGGTTCACACAAGAGCACAATCTGAGAATCCAACATGCTGACCCGAAAAACTACCTGCAGGGTATGTAGATGGCCTGTGTGAGCTATGGTGATGACGATGGAATGACGGGATGTTCACCAAGTCACGAAAGGTAGCTTGAGCTACCTGAGTTCTCCTTGCTTTAGCAAAAATGTATTACAATCAGGAGTTGGGATTGTGCATTGAATTTGGTCCTGTAAGAGTTGATTCTGTTCGGGGGGGGGGGGCCCCCCCACTCGCTGGATCAAATCCCCCCTGCGCCGGTTCACGCCGTCATGGACTTCTACCAGGGTTACTTGTGATTGCCTGCTACCTTTCGTTCACTCCCTCCTCTCTCAAGTAGACTTACCTTGCAGATCCATGTGGACATGGTCAGTTGGTGTATTTTTGGTTAGTAGGTTGGTCCACTCATCTCCCCCCCACCCCAAGGGGTCATTTCTTGGCTCAGTCTTTCGAGCTTGCGACCTTCATGGCCGCCCATCGCCTCGATTTCGCCTCCACGGATCCCAGCCCGGCCGCGTGGCCGTGCGCCACCGGTCGGACCCAGCCGGCCCCGAGCCAGGCATCGACCTGCGCAGAGAGACCGGGTCCAGCGGGTCCACTGGGTCGCGGAGCCGGCCGCCCTGGCAGGTGCCGTTGGGGCGTGGCGGTGGTGCCAGCTGTGGTGAAGGGGATCAGGTTTGTTTTTAGTTTTTTTGAGATTGTTTTGGTTCGTTTTGATGATTGGACGTGCTGATTGGCTTTCCTTTAGCCACCTGAATGTGCTTCATTGAGGTTTTCTTCATATCTTGTATGGATGCCCTTTTTCTTACATATGTCATACTTTCAGAAAGAAGAGCTCCCAAGCTTCCTTGGAAGATCCGACTTTATACCCTCCAGACTGCGGCCTCATAAGGCATCGAACACACCCTGCTGGATGTGTTGGTCTATTCAATCAATAGACATTCACTTCTCATATTTGCATTGTCTTGAAGGCATAAACTTCTGACTGTGCCTTTCCAGTTGAGTTTTCATTGAAACATCTTTCCATCTCAGATTCGATTTCACATGGCTTTACACACCTCCATCCATCTCCAGGTCATAGGCTTTGTGGGTGGCCTGGCGAACGGCCTGGCCCGGAGTGCCAAGGCGCCCGGAGAGAACCGCGGGGTTCGACCGGGAGGAACGGGGAGGAGCATTTTTTCCATGAATCTGGTGGTGGAGTGGCGGGTGATGCGGGTGGAAAACCACCAACATCCCTTTTTCGGGGCCTCCCCCAGGATCAGATCCTAAAGGAAGAAGGAATTAGAAGGAGCACCGTGGAACCCTGCGCGTGGCACATGTTTGGACCCATCCGGTCGGTTTTGGTCCAGGTGTTTTTCTTTGCACCGCCTGCACCACCTGCGCCTGGGAGGTGTGCCGTGCTGCTGAGAGTGAGAGCGCCAAAGGCAGGGCAACCCTTCTTGTGACAGCGAAACTCGTCATGAGTAGTACGGCACGGTACGTATATGTATACATGGTGAGATGGATGCAAAGACATGGGATAAGGACGACTTGGTCACCTGTTGGCCTATTCTGCACTGGCTGGTGTTGTCAAGCTCAGCTAAGCATGGACCATGAACAGATTGCAATCCCTGCAGATCTGTAAAAGAACGAACTACCACCCTTGTAGTCTGGAGTCGCTCAAGAATCCTTTGACCTTTCCGGGTGTCCAACTGGATTCCAAAAGAAGCAGCTGCATTTATAGTCGCAGGGCGCCTTCCAAGCTTTTACCAAGTTTTGCTCCAAAGCATTCGCCCTATATGTACGTTGTCTCTCCCAAAGCTACGACGAGAACCCCAGCGCCTGCTCTCAAGATCTCTCGCGGCTTTCCAGGCTCGTCCGCTGAAGCGGCAGCAGCGCCGGCAGCGCCAGCAGCGCAGGCCAGAGTAAGCGAGTGAAGGGAATCTGCCTGTCGCTTGGGGCACCTCTCAAAAGTTTCTTTGACTTCTGAGTCACAGGACGTTCCTGAAAACTCTTTGGCAAGACCTTCAATCACCGGCCTAGAATAAAAAGGCGGTTGTCTTGAGGTGCTGGGACGGACCCGGATTTGGCTGGGACGGCCCTTCAAGGACTTGGTCGCTGCTGTATCTTTTCTGGACTTCGAAGCTGTGACGTTGGGTCGAAGTGGACGTCGGCTACGGACGGACGGTGGAAGGGAGGTCATCCGAAGCAACACCTCCCAACTTGATCCCCGCACTTGTTTCAACATTCTTTGACCCAAACGAACACCCCTTCGACACCACACCCAAGAACACCGGAAGAAACCACGACGGAGGGAGACCACCTGCAGATCTATCTCCACGGCACAAGACCGTGGATCCATCGGCGATGCCTCTGTCAGGGGACGGAGCGCCGCAGTCTCCGCCGCTCGGGTCGTCGAGCCGCGGCGCGTCGTGCTGCCGCCGCGACTCGGTCAAGGTCGGCGAGGTCGGCGAGGCCAAGAAACCCACGGCAGCCGAATCCAGGCTGGCGCTGGAGCAGGCAGGTTCACGAGCTGCCGCTGGAGGGGGGGCATTTTCAGAAGGGTCGTGGCTCACTTTTGATAGAAGCCTGATGGCCCCTAGTATTGGGGTTTGGAATGGTTTTCAGGGATGTATTTTTTGGGGGGTGAAACCTTTTCTCACTCTTGGAAGTCAGAAGGTTTGAGTTTCCTCGCCAGAGGTTCGGTAGTCGCAGATCTACGGACGTCGGTGCCCAGGCATCCACCGGCGGAGGCATGGGCCGAAGCGGATGGGAAGGTGGCGCCTTCGAGCCGATGCGATGAGAGGATGGGTGTTCCCAGGTCGGTTCGTTAACTAGAACCCCCGAAGGATGGCCCCAGGTCTCAGCGTTCGGGGGACCAGCGTTTCCCCCCCAAACGCAAGGGGGGTGCCATAGATGGCTCTGGATCAACAACATGGTCTTGGAGAATGTGCACTGCACTGGGACAAGCTCAAAGACACGGGGTTTTGGGCGGTTGACGTCGACGTCCTCAGGGTTGAAAGGACCACACCCGATCAGCACCACTGGCGCCACTGTGAGGCTACCAAAGCCTCACAGCCGATCAGCGGGGCCTGGTGAATGGCTTCTTCTTCCCTGACGAGGAGGCTGGTGGCTGAGGTGGCTGCGGTGGCTGGTTGGATGGAGGAGGTTTGTTGCTTTCAGAGGCTGAAGAGTCTGAGACTCAAATTTTCCATTGGTGGAATGGCTCACTTCCAAGGCTGGTTCATTTCAATCCAAACAGACCAGACGGCTGGTTCACTTCCAGTGCTGGTTCCATTAAGGAGTTTCGTGTCGGCCTGGCTTGTCTGGTTGGCCTGTGCGGCGAGGAGCTTGATATGGACAAGTCCATGCCGTTGGAGGAGTGTGATGCAGTCCATGGTGTGTTTGAGTGCATGCCAGATTTGCAAGTGGGAAAGCACCCAGGGGGTGGTGAGATTAGAACAACACAATGCCTGAGGTCTGGTGTCAGACTTGATCATCAGCTGGCTATCGCTTAAAGTCAGCAAAGAAGCACTCAACCTCCTTTTGAAACTACACATGCAAGCAAGGATATGCCGAATCCGTGGATTGCACTTCTTGAGGCATTCTGGGATGCACCGGGGTTAGTTCGTGGAGAGGTTCAGGGGTTAGTTCAGGGGTTGCTGGTGTTCAGTGTTCTTTCAACATCCCCACGGACAAACTGCATTGAGGGCTTTGAGGCCTAGTCTTTGTCATGTGCACTCGCCTGGCCGATACATCAAGCGTTCAGCTCAGCAATGTCAGAGAGAAACGACAGGGATCAGAGGTTCCCTTCTGCAGCCTTATGACGAGTCGACTGGAAAGAACCTGTATGGATCCGTAAGTCATATGACATCTAAGCCCATCATCCCTCCACTGCGGAACAGAGGCATTGGACTGCCCATTTTTCTCCTTCACCTGGCCTTGGCACGAAAGCCCAATAGACTTTCAACAGCAAAAAACAGCAATCAGATGCAATAAGCAAAGTTTGTTGAGCGAGGGATAATCACAATGAACCTTTGGATACCTAGCTTGAGAGAAGCGCCGACTCTGCTTGCTCCGCCCCATGCATCCTTGCAGCTCAAAGACCACAACCACCAGAGAGCCAGCTGAAGAAGCGCACCATAGAGCCACATCGCGGCGACCCTGGAACCACCGACTTTCACCCAACGACCGCTGCGACCGGTGCACGTGGCCATGGTGAAGTTCGTGTGCCCCGAGGGGAAACGCCGCCAGGGGCAGCTCTGCTTCCAAGCCCCCAAAGGCGCTGCTGACGGAGAGGAGACGGAGCGGATGTGTGGTACGGAACCGGACCGAACCAGTTCTGGTGATCCAGCGAAATCAGCTAAACTCCAAGCAGTTTGTGGGTGGAGTCATAGTGACATACTGATACTATTATATTATCTATATATGCCGCTAAGAAGCTGAATATTTGACAAACAAACTCCATAAAACACTCCAGCAGTGTTGGTGCTTGGAGTTTGCCCGGAAGACCTGCATTTGGGAAGCACGTTGGTTCAATGACTTCGTGAATTAATGTGGCTCTCATTTTGAAGCAGGTTGAATCTTGATCTCAACATAAGGGTTTTTCAATGCCCTGTAACATGGCGCCGTGTTGTGTTTCCAAGCATTTGCCATCTGCTGTCTGCAACATGTGGATATTTCATAATCCGGAGAAGCAGCTGCTCTTGAGATTCAGGATGATTCAGGCATGTTCAAACAGTGAGGGTTCAGGAGCAGACAGACGGGACGTACATTTGATGTTCAGTTGGCCTTCCAAAATTTCCTCGAAACGACAGGTCAAGTAAATCATAGTTCTCAACATGTTCTTTCGGCATCTTTCGGCGTTTTGTTGCGAAACCACCGAAGCCCACGCATACACCCCTTGGACACCAGCGTTGCCCAAACCCCGTTGCGTTGCCTCGGGGTGTCCTCTTCACCGACCCGCTGGACTTCGTCGGTTCGACCGATGGACGAAGGACGGAACGTCAGGTGCTTCCGCGGAGCTGAAAGCGCTGATTTCGAGCTTTCGCCCGAGCCTGACGCCCAAGGAGGTGCTCCACCTGGGCGCCTTCGGTGCCCCGACCGCCACTGGTCGACCTGGTGTTTCGCGCCTTCGGGTGATGAGGGTGGTGAAAGAAGCCTTCGGATTGTTGTGAGCGGCATCTCTTCATGTTTATACTGCATTGATATGCATTGATTAATGTTCAGAAGCAAAAAGGGCCTGAGCAGGGGCATTTGGAAGTGTTTAGAAGATTACGGCCCCACAGCATTTTGTGAGGCCAAGCTTAGTTAACAGTTAACAATATTGGGGGTCCTCAAAGACACTCAACCCATTCTAGAATCTAGACAACGCTTTGTGCCAAACGCTGTTTTTTCGACAAGAAGACCGAACCGCCCTGCACTTTCCCCAAACACAGAGGACATCTCTCCCAAAGTTCCAGAACCACTGGACGGCAGCCGCCCGCAGCTCGCTGCAGAAGTGCCCAGGTGGAACCTACTTTAGGGACATCGACTCCGCCGTCACGGGGAAAAGGCACAAGGATGCTTGGAAGGACGGACCGGGCGGAGGAAGAGACGAGACGAAGCAGGTTTTCTACCATTTTTTTCAGCTTTTTAAAACAAAGAGAGCAAGCAGCAAGCAAGTTGGTGGCAGAGGCGATTTGGGTGTGTTGGGGTTAGAATGGCTATTTTGGAATGCGTGTTTTTGCACATGCATGGATTATAAGCTGGTTCTATCGTTATGTTGTGGATAGATCGTCATCTCTTCGTAAAACAAGTAGAATCCACTGTGCAGACTTGATTTGGTTTCTCATTTTCGGACATGCAACTTCTGATCTAAGAGACGTCCGGTCCACCATTCATAGCATATCCTACGCATTTTCGGACATGACATGAAACTGCAAGGAACTATGGCCTCAAAGAGTCAAAGAGGGTCATATATAAGAGGATTTCTTTATTCACCCATGTTTTTCTCACACTAGGCCTGAAAAGAACCATCCAAACAATTCCAAACATGCCATGCCATGTTCAGTATAACTAGACTAGGCCCGACTGCAGGAGTTGCCCAAGAGCTGGCTGAAGGGCTTGGACATCCGGCGCCAGGCACGGCACTTGCACGGCACTCCCACACTCGCACGGCACTCGCACGACTCGTTTGGGTAGCGAAACGAAGCGAATTCCGGAGCGGTTTGGTGGGATGTCAACCTGGTACAGCGCTGGATTTCCGCAGTTCGCCCCGCACCGGGGTGAGTGACGTTCGGGTCAGTCGCTGGATGCGACTTCTGGGGCAGAGCTCTGAATGAAGGAAGAACAGACACAAAAAGACATGTACTATCTGAGATGGGGATTGCTCTGTGTTTGCAGCTTTGCCTGCAGCATCATAGTAGATGCTAGCAATTTCTAGCAATTATATGCAATCATATCATGAGTCTGGACTCCACTTTCTGGTGTCCAGTACCGTGCCGTTTGGACCGCGTTTGGTTTGTGTGGGAGCCTTGTGTGCTCAAACGTCGTTGGGAAAAAACATCCCGTGACACCCAGTGGACCGATCTCGTCAGACACCCGGAGGTGGCTCGTGACTGGGAAGATTACGATGTCGCCTGGCTGCGATGTAGCCTGCGGTTCAGATGGGACGAATGAAGATGACGTTTGATAAACTGCTTTTGGTGTGCAACCGACTACCTGAGTCATTTTGTGATTGTAGCTGGGACCAAATCCTTCGGAGAAGAGATACCGCCGAGACATTGAGCTACACGGGGTGACCGAGTGTTCCACTTCACAGCACCGCCCGCCGCAGTTCGAGGTGTGTTGGGGGTGTCTGCGTGGCCCATAGATGCTTTGGGCTAAGTGGGTCTGAAGTGGCATGCCCATGGAAAACATACAAGAACCCTGAACTCCGAAAAGCCCTGAAAAGGAGAAGATCCTGATGCTTCTGGGTTTCTGTTTAGATCTGTTTAGTACCCTTAGGACCCAAGCAGGACCCTTGCAGGATTCCCATGCATCTCGTAACGCTTCTTTCGAAGCAGACTGAACACCACGTCGTTCGGACGCGTCGTTCGATGAGGCTACCGTGAACCACTATGGAGTGAAGTGCGGGAACACCTTGGAGGAGACCGAGCATGCCAGGTTCTGTCGCACTCGTTTCTTTTTTTCTCCACACACAACTTATAACTATAAGTTTAACATAATCATGCGGAAATTTTTTTCGCAACACGTTTACACCTCCAAGAACGCCATCATTTTGTTGTTGTTGTTGTTGTTGTTGTTGTTGTTGTTGTTGTTGTTGTTTTTTGTGGTGAAGTCTTCTTTGTCGGGGGGTTCCCCATAATCTGATATTGGTGGTATGTGGGGGGTGAAAAACACCCTGTGGTTCCCAATCGGGGAAAGCTATGCGCACCTACCAGACCGCCAGTCTGCGAGGGAACGGTGGCGGTTCGTTTGTCCTTTTTAGACCTTTACCCTTGGGATGATTTGAAAGATATATTAAAAGCACTGACTGTTGGTCTGACTGATATGTTTTTGTGAGTTGAAACCACCTAAGCAGATAGGCTTTCACGACTCGACTCCTGCGGCGCGCCCTCGGACTGTTCGATCCGCGCTGCAGGAGTGGGAAAACGCAGGGTGGATGCATCCGCAAGACCCGCAGCTTGGTAAGTTTTGGCAAGCCTTGGCGAAGCAAAACAGAATAGATCGAAGGGTTTCTAGATCCGACGGATCAAGTCGACTGGAGTTTCGCTAATCGATGCTGCGCACCGTGCGCACGATGCTGCGGCTGCGTGAGGTATGGCTGGTTCCAGTGGTACTGCCGCTTCTTTCAGGGGCGGCGAAGCGAGGACGACCCACGCCAGATCAAGCGCTGGTTGAAGATTTGCGGCCCGACAGGCCCAGACCGTTTGGTCGGGGCAAAACGTTGGGTGTTGGGTTGGGGAGCGCGGGGGTGAGGAGCTGGGGAGCTGGTCACAGAACATGTCTACAGTTTCCTGAGCAGTATAGCTTGGCGAACGATCTTGGAACCTGAGCTGTGGGCTGGATGTGGTGCATTGGCCAACGGGGCCAAGGGGTGCAAAATTCAAGACACGGTTGGATGAGGATGAGGCCAAGAAGTGGCAAGGCCTCAACTTCGCACACTTGAGATTGCATGTTCCACGGATGCTGAAGCATCTGAAACAGGAGATGAATGGACCTCGCCCTGAAACCCTTCGCCAGTGAGGCCGATGGAAAGGAAACCTCATCGCCAAGTGCCAGGACCTAAGTTGGGGATGCACAGGCGGACCTGCGGACGGATTAACTGCTGAAATCAAGGCGTTTGTGGGCAATCAGTGAATCTGGTCATGGCTGAACAAGACATGAGGACATCTAGAATCTAGAATAAACGGTGTCTTAGTGGGGGACGCATTTTTTCATTGATGGAGCAGTTGAGACATTGCCTTGGGTTTGGGGATCTCGGCGCTGCCTTCATGAGAACTATGGAAGATCTTGCCCTGGTGCACGCAGATGTCAACAAGAGATCTCGATTTTAGGTTTTTCAACTCAGGTGCGAAATCCACAGCGTAGTAACGTAGTAGCCCTAATGTTCAACATGGTTCCCTTGCGTTGTTTGGTGGGCTGGCTAGCTGGCTAACTCACCCCAATTTCCCTCTGACCGCGAACATTTTGAACGTTGAGGTGTACGAACCTGCAAATACCATACGGAACTCGATCCAACATTCGGTGATCTGGAGCCCCAAACCGTCGCCAAACGTGTCCAAATCCACCGGAATGTGATTTCTCTCTTCTCTTCTCCGCTCTCTCTCCGCTCCCTCGGCTCTCTCTCTCTCTCTCTCGCTCGCTCTAATCCAAAAATGGGTGCAAAATGTTCAAAGCATGAGGAACAAACTACACACATGGTAAATAGCAAGTGGCTTGTCATTTTTTGCAATATTGTGAGGTCAGCTGATCAAAGGGCTTGCAAGGCAAACTTTTTCGTAGCAAGTGCTTCGCATTTTGTGCGATTTTGTACAGTCAGCTGGTCAAAAAGGGGCTGCAAGGCCAAATTTGGTGAAAACATGATTAACATCGCCAACACATTGTAATTAAACATACAACGTTTTCCTTATTGATCGGTTCCAAATTGACAACCTTTTCCCCGTGGAATCCTGCAAGACGCTTATGTCACCTTACACTCATGAGACGCTCCAAAATCAGGAGGTAGGCCAAAACCTTTGATTATCTAGCCTTTGGATTTCACCAATCAATCCCATATGCCTCAGCTCGCCCCGCCTGACCCAAGACCTGAGCCTTGAGCCAAGACCTGTGCTTCTTGGACCTCCCGCCCTGTGGCGGACCATCAAATCGGGTCGTCACTTCGGCGGACCATCAATCCGTCACAGAAAGACGTCCCCTCGAGACGTCACACGTTTCTCGGCCTTCTGGAGTTGTTCAGTGGCGGCCCGTGGAAACAGCAACGTCTTGAACTCCACGTGCAACGACGCTGAACAGCTCGCAGCGGGGTGCGATGTGACGAGCGTCTACGGTACGTGTGACTCGTGCTGTCCGAAGCCACCTTGTCCGAGCCTTGTCCTGCTGTCCCTTTTCCCACCGCCTTGTCCGGCAATGCTTTCGTGTGGCTGTGAATGCAAGAGTCATAGGCTCAATTATAGCGTTTCAATTTTGATCTCATCCTCATCATATCGCCTCTTGTTTTGCACATCTGACCCGGGAAGCATGCAGGAACGACTTGTTTTCAATGGGTTTTTCAAACCTTTTCGATCTACATGAGTACTCCACGTCTCCACTCCGTTCAGTCAACCGGTGCCAGTCAAGGCGTGAAGGCGAATCGGGCCTACAATGATCCCAAGGCCGGCCAGGACCACGTCCAGTTGCGCCACGAATCGAGTCGTGGATAGTAACGAGAAGAGAGAACAGTTGATGCCTACTCATCATGAAGGTGGAGTTCCCGACCTCTAGAGATCTGTAGAGGATTTCATGACCCGAAATCAGGGCCAGGTTCCATATGAGGACTTTTTGGTTTCTCATGGAGTGATGGTTGATTCCTCCGCTTCGCCACATGCTTTCATGTTGTTCCCTGATTCTTGCTCTCTTCGGTGGCGGTGGGTCGGTCGGTCTAGTGGTTCCACCCGGAGACCGAACACCCTACGACCGGTTCCTGCAAACCCTTGGGAGATCCGCCGTCTTCTGCGTTCGTACAAGCGGTCGTACAGCGAAGTAAGTCGGGGTGCCGCGGTGGACTTCACCTCCACTCACTGGATGGGGGAATTGAACACCAAGCCAACTGCATGTGACTCCTGGTCTATACCATGTATCCGTATTCCCGAGGCTTCCTCCATCACCCCTCGGCCGCGATGCTACCGCTCGGTCGGTTTTTCCCGTGGGTGGACCGGTACTCCAGGTCTCTCCGGTGGTCCGGCAGTCCTTGCTGCACTGGGCCTATGAGTTAACGGCCGCGGATTTGCGAGAGAAGAAGAAGGAGATCCTGCAAGGTGGGCTTGGGCTGTGTAGGATCGCGCGATATGGGTGGTGTGTCGCGTGATATCGTGGTTTGTCCCAGGGTTGGTGGTGAACAGTGATGCTTGAAGCAACGGTCATCAACGGTCGACGGTAGTCTAATTGGTTCCTGATGCCAAGAAGACACATACCTTCGAAGTTTGACAGACAACAACCATATTAGTGCTCATGAGGCTCGTTGGACTTTAGACCGCCCATTTGATCCATTTTCCCTACCCATCCTTCCATGCGAAGTACCCGCCGGCACTCATTCATCGCTCAGCAACCTACTTTCGCCCCAACCAAGTGTCACCCCCCGGAAAATCACTTGTCACCTATCTAGAGCCGACCTACACACCCACTTGCACGCATTCCTATACCCACATCCACAATCCACACCCAGCTATATAGATGTCCCCACACACCCACCCACCTACTCTCCCCACCCATGACTTCCTGCGCTTTGACCCCGTGTGTCGAGGCAAAGGCGCTTATGCCCTGCCACGTGCCGAGCTGTTCGAGGTGCACCGTCAGGCCGATCCGTCGGAAAGAAGGATCGGGTGAACAACCGAGCACCTGGAGCACCTGGGTGGGTGAAACCGAAAAAGTGTGAAGCTTCTATTCTATTTAGCTTCTTGTTTCTACTAGCTTCTTGTTACTACTAGTAAGGCCCTTGTTCCAAGTAGCGATGCCCTTTGCTCCTAGTAGCGTGTGTTTATTTAAATGTGTTTTTCTTTGTGTTTTCAATGTTCCACGTTGTTCATATCAGCTCTCAGGTTGGTAATTCTTGAGAGCAGATTCAGCTGGAAAGGGGGAGTGCAGACATACTGAAGCTGGGCCAATGCTTGCTTTTGGTCTTCGATTTGGTGCCCAAAGGGACGAATCTGTTTTCCCACGGGTCGCAAAGGGCAAACACGTCAGCCAACTGTTCTTTTGATGCGCCCGTGTCTTCCTGCTGCTTGAAACCTTCATGAACCTCTTTTTCTGCGCCCACGGGGCGGTTCGTCGACAGACTCATGATCCACCAGCCAACCATGCTGGATCCGTTTTGCGGGGCCCATACGGCCTGAATCCATCTGAATCCCTTTATTTTCGCCCTGTTCAAAACTCCTGCTTACCCAAACATCCCAAAACCTAACGACCCATCTCCCGGTTTTTGCGCCCTGGTTTTAGCAGTGGATTGGGTTTTTGCGCACGCAGCCGGTTCTCTCAGGGGCTGAAGCGGCCAGCTGCCTCGAGATGATGGAAGTCGAAATCTGACCGCGATCGAACGGTTGGTGACTTGACCGTAGCAGCGATGTAGGATAGAACACCTCCAGACATGGGTATGGGTCCAAACCTACTGGGGTTTCCATGCATCTTTTTCTGGCACTTCGCCATCACTTCGCAGTGAATTTCATGTGCAGTTCCAGAATTCAGTGTGTATAACTGGGAGGTTTTGACCCACACCCACGCAAAGAGAATCGATCTTCACGGCTGCGTTTGGAGAGAGGCCGTCTTGCGCTGTGAAAAAGTATCGCGAAAAACGACGCGAGGCGCCGTCTTGCGCCCACCAGGCGTTCTGAATGCACTTGTGGCAGAGAAAAGCTGATTTGGGCAGAAATCCATCATTCAACTGAGATGCGGCAGAGCATCCTCCCACCATCTCATTGGCGCCGTGACCAGCAGAAGCTGGCGGCTCCCAGAACCAGACAGTGGAACATGCATGAACATGCGGGCTCCCAGCAAGAGAGGTGAAGTGACCTGAAAAGGGACCCGTCACCTGGGGTACCCTGGGACCTCTGTTGGAACCTCTGTCACGGTATGTTGGGTCGATTTCGAAGACATCCATGACTTTATGACCAATCAAGTTCTGAAGATTTCGAAGGTTGATCCAGGGCCCCGGATCTGATTTTCCTTGTTGCCGCTCACGTGACTTATTGCCACCTCTCTTGGTAGCTTCTTCGCTTCGCGAAGGACCCCGGTTTCGCCTGCGGGACGGGGACGGTGACGGTTGAAAAACCGCCAGGACCACATCAGCGAGCTCCGGGACGGTGTGCTCCGCGCGCGTGCCCTCGACGCAAAGAGGTCGGCGACACGCGTGGCGACCAGCGGTGTGGGGACCTGCACCGGCGGTGCCGCGGGATCGTGGGTCGTGGTGAAAATACAATTGTCGTGTGGTGTTCTTGTCGTGAGGGAGCGGGAGGCAGCTTTCTTTTTTGTTCGGCATGCTTAGGGTCTGACCATCATCATCCTCATCCTCCTCATCCTCCTCCTCCTCCTCATCCTCATCCTCCTCCTCCTCCTCCTCATCCTCATCCTCATCCTCATCATCAGCATCACCATCACCATCACCATCATCATCATCACCATCACCATCAGCATCATCATCATCATCATCATCATCATCATCATCATCATGATCATCCACTGTTACAGGTATTGGGATAGACTCAGTCGGCATGCTTGCTGTTGTGTCTTCGCAGTGGGTTGGTGGTTCGCGTTGGTTGGTGGTTGGATGGGGGAGATCCTCCCGGTGCGCAGAAGAGCTGTGTAGCTGACTGCGAGTTGAAGCTGCGGGAGGCAGGAGATGTTGGGGGATTGAAGGAGTTGGGACTTTAAGGACAGAGTCCTTTTCCCACTCCACGGAATATATGTATATAGATTCTTGATCAATAACCCCCCATATGAAGAGGTACTTCAATTCAATTGGGAATGTGTATTAATCAAGAGTCTACATATGTCTACATGAACCCCAATGATTGGCGTGGTGTCATTCTGCGACAACTGAGTAGCAACCTTCCAAGATCTGTGAAGATCCGAGGATCTGGTCAAGCCGACATACCGGAATGGAACATGGAGATCCCAACAAGAGTAGAAATGCGAGCGCTACCAACAACTCCCTACCGGCGCGCGCTCCGCAGAATTTGGGGGAGAAAAACCACGCTCTGGTGAGGTTGGCAAAAACTGGTAGGGCGGGTGTGGGTAGCCCAATAGATAAGCACCCCCAAAAAGATCCAAAAGAACTTTCTGCGCAGTGGACATTTCAAACTTACCAAATCCCCGTCCCATGAAGGTCGCGTCCCCGGTCCCATGAGGGTCCCGAAGCTTGCTTGCTTTCGGGGTCCGCCTCGCTCGCGAGGGCGGCGATGTATACGCTGTCGCGAGGGCGTCCACGAGCTGAGAAAACATTCAGAGCACCAATTGCAATAAGTTTTCGTCTGAAATATATAGGTGAACACCACTCCAGTCAATTGGTTGCCCAAACTATGCCTGTGGCAGACAACATGCGCAGGTGTTCTTGCAGTAGTATACCTGCAAAGAATATGGCTGGTCATGATATGAAGCTGGAATATCTGCACAATTTGTTATAGTTATTCCTGTGAATCCCATGCTTTGATAATCTTTGAAGAGCTGTATCAATGTGTAGGTATGGTATTGTTCATGTTTGCAACAGCTATGACTTCTGGTAGCTGATGATATGGCCTTTACATGCACGAGCTCTTGGGTGAACGTGCAGATAGACCATTTTTCCTCACTGTGGGGGTGGCTTTGGTGCATATAACACCGATTGGGAAAAGAAAGGACACCAGCGCGAACAGCTTTGTTCATGTCACTTGATGCAGGAGAGGTAGGGCACTGAATGCCACAGGTAGTCATCAATAGGCCATGAATGCCACAGCTTCACGTTGCTCTTCTGTTTTCACTCTACGAGTGCTTTTTTTTCTCCAGCAAGTAAGACAGACCAGTGGGCAAGACCGAGATTACCTTTTGATGCGTTACGACACAGATTTGCAAGGGTTGCCCTGACTGAATGCCGAAGGAAGGATGAACCCTGGTTTAGTTCATTGGCGGGCATACTATTGCTGCCGTGTTGGGGCCTATCTGAGAAGGATGAGCTTTTGGGCCACTAGAATTCCAGTGTCTGCTTTCTGGCGCTGAGGCTGTGTATCAAGGGGCTTCCAGGACCAAGAACGCCAAGATAACGCCAAGCAATCCAAGCGTGACTAGAGTGTCAGCTCATGATGTTCATGTCAGAAAGGTAGTTGCGAGCAACGCGTGTGGCGACTAAGTTGCTTTCACCGTGGTGGCGGTCGGAGTGTGCCTCTACTACTACAAGGCGCATCAAGGGGTGCGGGCACTGATCCATTACACGGGTGTACTTGATCTCCTTTGGGGGGTCGTGCAACTTGTTTATGGGCTTTCCCACCACCACCATCACCACTCGTCTGGCCAAGTTTGCTGAAGCTGCACCGTAAACAGACAACGGGTGACAGCGACCACAAAGAACAAGGAACCTTCGATGGATTTTTTTGGTGACCCTGTCAGAGATATCCAGAGATCAAACATTTTGGGGCTCTGCTGCATTTCTATCGTGATCGCCTCGGTAGGTGCCTCGAAATCAGACAGTGCAGGTCACCAGTTATTTCCTTGCACGTGCCCGTGCTACGCTTTTCGGCTACCCTACACTTCTCAGTGGGTGATCCGATCTTTGTGCACAGAGGGTTGGTGGATCGAATCGACGAGTTGGAGAGGCCTGCGAGATACACAGGGCGTACGTTCGCAACATTTTCTGCGCAAAGCAGAGGCCACAAAGGGAATCAACCCAACAACGACCATGGAAAAAACATGGCATCACCGACCCTCCACTAGAACGAGCTCCACCCTCCAATGCCAGTTCTGTTGGGGCTTGGCCAGGGCATTGTCCTGACAGCGCGCCGCACTGCAGGAGCTCACGACTGCGCTGGAGTCGCCGGCGCAATCGGGCGACTCGATGGTGGGGCAGCTCGGAGCCGTTTGCACCGGTGGCTCGCTGGTTCTAGGCCGATGGCTCGCTGGTTTTGGGGGGTTGTTTTGGGCATTGGACAAAGGTCCACCAGGGGTCCGGGGCGAGACAAATTTTTCTTTTGAGCGTTGAGAACCAACTTAGTTGTGGGGATGGTTACTTCACTGCCAGTTCACAAACGCTCACCAATTTACCTCATATTTTTGATTTGAGTCTTGACGGACATGCGCACATTGACCTTCTCCGGGTGGGGATCCACACCTCATCTCTCTCTCTCTCTTTCTCTCTCTCTTCGTCCCTGGCGTCGACCTCCGGCCGGGCCACCGGTGCGCCAGGTGAAGTTTGTTCAGCTGGCGCCGGGGGAGTTCTTTTTCGTCTCGGTGAAGGTTCCCAGACGAAGCGGAAGCGACGGCGGTTCCGGGAAGATAGCGTTGCGCAGAGCGATGAATCCAAGGGAAATGGGCAGATGAGGCCAAGGAACCAGAGATGAGATATGGTAAGATGTTTGATGTGCATGTCGAATGAGTTGCCCATGTACTGGTATTGCAATATAAAGGTTTTTCATATTTTTTGGGGGGCTGATCCATTAAACTAATCATTACCTGTAACAGTTACTAGTTGGTAAAACATGATCACTATTTCAGAGGAAGGCCTTTACTAACCATCGTCATCCAATTCCACTGGAAACGGGATAGACCAAAAGAACAAGATTTAGCCCACGAACCCGAATGCAAACACGTTCGAATAGTTGCAGTATAATAGATTGTTTTTTGAGTATGCCCCACTCCCAAATACAAGCAAACAACTTTTTCTGTTTTATATCATGGTATGAGAAACTGGGCTTTTTTTTTAAAGCTATAAATCAATAACAAGTACCACATACTCGAGACTTCGCCATCTAGCACTCATGACTCTTCCACCCCCTAACCCCGGTATGCTGCATAGATATATTCAAACCGACTGCCCGCAGAATAGACATGTTCAATGTGTCATTTTTCACGCTCCAGCTCGCTAACGTCGAGGCTCGTCAGCCACATGAACAGGCAAACAAGGGGCATCATGCGCTGGGGGTTCGACCGCCAAGGCATCATGCGCTGGGGACTCCACCACCAAGCTCCGTAGCTGCCACGTCGGTTGCTCTGGTGCTACCCTTTCTGCTGGGGAGTGGACAAAACCTCTCTGCGCAAGCCTAAACGCTCTTCGGTCGTAAAAGTGTTGCCACTGCATCGGCCCATTCCATCCTCTCTTCCGACTTTAACGCTGCTCAGCTCCCCACATTTCTCTTGCTGGATTCCACCGTCTGCCCAAAATGGCTGCGGCGTATGTCTACCACCTACTCCCCCTCACAAACCTTTTTCCCTACGCTCCCCACCACACACAGGTCAATAGTGTTTCGCACGAGACTTCCTCTAAACCTAACTCGCGTTTCATGCGAGACTTCCTCCCAAATTCAGGCACCAAGTTTCCCAAACGAGCGCGTACGAGACATCTTATCATCTTCCAAAAGTCATTCGCCAAGTCTCCAAAACAAGCATTTTGCGCGAGACTTCCTCAACAACTCACACTTGAAGTCTACAAAACAAGCGTTTCGTACGAGACTTCCTCCAAAAGTCACGCGTCAAGTCTCCAAAATGAGCGTTTCGTGCGACACTTCCTCCAAAAGTCATCTGTCAAAGTCTTCCAAACGAGCATTTCGTACGAGACTTCCTGCAAAAGTCAAACGGGAAGCCCCATCGGAGCACATCAAGCTGCCCTGCCAAGCAGTTTCGCAGTTCCACGCCCTCCAAATAACACCCGCTCACGCGCCAATCCCAATGTCACAGCGACATTCACAGACAACTACCCCCCAGACCCCCAGAGTTAAACGAGAACCCTTCGCTACGCATTCGGGAATTATAGTGTGTATGATATGATATGATACAAATGATATGTGTCTTTAATGGGCTGGACCTTTTGGGCCTCTTAGGCGAAGATGGGAAGTTCGGCGCCAGCAGAACAAAAATCACCGGCGGAGGAACTCTACCAACTGAAGGAACTGACCATGTTAGGCACCGACCAAAAAACGAGATTCTGTGGGACTCCGACTCCAACACGAAGTGTTTTTTCTACACAGTTTTGTTTGAGGGAATTGAATGCAACTTGGAGGATGTGAGATTGCACATCCCTCCAGTGGTTCGCCCGCTTCGAGATCCAGCACTCCAAAATTGGACCCGCTTCTACAAAGCAGTCCTCTGAGTCTACATGATTCTGTGGGAGTGTAGCTCTCAATCTATGACATCTATCATCTTTCTATTATGTTAGTTGGCACCGCTTGTATATGACATGACTAATATGACACTGTGATTGATTGATGACTCAGGGACAGCAGATTCATCAATGTACCTTCGAAAGAAGATATCAGACCCTCTGGACGTCGCAGGACGGTGACGTCCAAACCTTTCTGCTAACCGCTCTGCCATCCGTTTCTGCGCGCGCGCTCGTCCTTTCGCGTCGCCGGCGTCACGAGTGACGCGGCGACCTGAGAGGTGGCCTTCTCCGTGGGCTTGTTGATCGCCTTCCCATATGCACTCTTTGAGGCGGCGCGCGATGTTCGGGCTCGGACGGGGTGGGTTGGTAGGCTTAAACTAGGCCCATTGGATACAACATGATACAACCGTTTGAAGAAGTGTCAAAGCATCGCGGGAGGTTGCTCCATGTTTTGGCCACCAGTTTCTTCAATTGATTCCTCCAAAGGTCTTTGAACCTGGTGCTCTTGGAGCTACCCTTCTCCACGCCTCAGTTTTCACTGGTGACCGCCCTGACGGCGGCCGAGGCGGCCCTCTATTTCACCCCGGCGCTCACCCGCAGTGAGCGCAACGTGGTGGGTCCCACGGTCGGGGCCCACGGAGTGTCGGTGGGGCCGCAGGACGACACCTGTCCATTAGGGTGCCAGGGGGGTTCAATGGGGCAGCATATTCCATAGACATGGAGTGTATGGGTGGTTTGATGGACGTCACAGGCTTTGATTAAGTTTGATGGCTTTGACAATTTTTAAACATGTTCTGCGGTGTTTTGGGGCCAGGGCACGGGACTGTAGAGCCCAACGGCTGGTGGAGATACAGTTGCAACCACCGGCTGCGAGAATCTGAGAGGTAGGAGTCCTCGGGCCCACCCACACTGTCGCTGTCCGACCATCCGTCCATCATGAGACATCATTCCGACTATATAGTCCAGGTGCGGTAGGTCGTGCCCCGACCCACTGCCATCTCCATTGTTTTCTCTGTGTTTGGAGCCCATAGAATTCCTGAACGCGAGAACGGGTGTTCCTGAGAGATCCAGTGTTTTTGATAGATTTTGAGCTAGTGTGTGCTCTCTCAAGCACACCCGCTCTCTAGAATTTCCAGTGGTCAATGCGATGGTCAGTAAGTGGAAAAGCGTGGGGTGTAACAAGAGCTACACACCCTGTTAAGCAGCTGTCATGTTCATTGTTCCCTTTCATCGCCTTGCCTTTTCCTCCGCAGTGTTAAGCAGCTTGCTGGACCATATCATTCTGTCAGAAACAAGAGAAAGAGAAGCACTAAACATGTTTCTTGTCTAGAGCATCCTGACTTCATGAGCAACCGTGTTTGGAACATGTTGGAACCGCCCCATGTCTTTTCACCGACAGGTGATGAGTCAGATATCAAACGCCAACTCAGTCGGACCTCGGTCAGAGGCGACCTCGGCGGCCTGAGGCACCGAGGTCACGAAACGTGACGAACGATGTGGGCACCGCCTTCCCACAAATGCCATTCACGCCATCCATGTGAGGTGTAAGTACCAGTATACCGCCCATGTCAAACGGATGTTTCGAACGGATCGCCAAAAAAAGGCGTGGGGGGAATTCTACAAACCACCCGAGCTGGGTGGTGCTGATTGTATTGATGTCTTCCCTTTTTTTCTGGGGGGGTTTTCTCTCTCTCTCTCTCTCTTCTTTCCTGCTGACCACTGCACACATGGACCGCGCTACCGCTTTTTCTTCGATGAACCAAACCCGGACGTTCGAGGTCCTCGCATCAGCGTTGCTCTTCTACAGCCCGGCGCACCCGGACCGGTGTAGACCGGCGGTGGGTTCTCCGCGGCGGGCGCAGGTTCCGCGTGAAGTGAATGGGCGTCGAAGAGGATGCCGAAGTGAATGGACATATATTGGAAGAGGAGGGATTCCTATGGATTCCTATGGTTTTAGGAGTTCTCAGGGTGGAGAACTTCGTGCAACTCTTCTTGCATGCAGTAGTATTATACAGTATACTTATGATAAGTAGTATGTTGCCAACAGTATGGCAAAAAGTGGCGGAGGAGGTGCTTGGGGCTACAGCTTACTTGGATGTATATTAAAATAGCGCTCGACCCGTTTGACCATGTACTCGACGACGCTCGATGGTTCGGAAGATAGACCAGTCTACTCTTCTGGCGATCGGGGCGAGATGGGCGAGATGGGCGAGATGGGCCGGGGGTCTCCCGGTCTCCAGGTCCAATCACATAGTCAAATTGACTATTAATAAACATATAATCAATGTTAAACATGACATCAATCAAATGACATTAATCCCATGTCCAATTAATGTAGAATCAATGTGAAATTCGTATACAAGACACACCCCCAGTTGTTGAACTGCCAAGGATATAGGACACTTGTACTGCCGTTCTGAGGCGAATGTTGCATGCATTTTACCCACCAGAGGTCACCAGACCTGCCCAGATGAGAGGAGAAGACCTGCCAGGCTTAGAGTATCCTTGAAGGAGTATAGGGTCAAGGAGTACTTGGATGATTTTGATGGGCCTCCCCTCATAGAGAAGAAGAGATGTATAGCAAAAGGGTCTCTCCTTCCGCCTTTCTGGTTACCTAAAGTTCCAGCCGGCCCGAGCCGAAGCTCCTTAGCCGCCTGAGGCGGCGCCTTGTTCTCCTACAGCGTCCTATCTCCCGCTGCCCTGGGCTTTTTCCTAGGCTACTCTCAGGACCCGCCGATGCCGACGAACTCGACGGACGTCAAGTTCTCGAACGGTGGTGCACGAAGGTCGCGGGTTTGGACCGGTGGGGAGTGCCGGTTGGTTGTGTAGCTTCGGTTTCGTCCATTTCGCCAGGATCACTAGAAACCCTCGGCCGGGTTAGCACCAAAAGAGCCATCGGTTCGGGATTAACAGAACACCTGCGGCAATGTGAAAGGGCTTTGAGCCGCCAGGAATGGCAAGCAAGGAGCTACCCTCCCGCAGAGGACCACGTGAACCCTGAAAACCATTAGGTGGTAGATGAGATCCATTTTCACGGGATTGTCCTTTGGGCCATGCCAGGGGTTTGCTGACTTTGAGAGTGGGCGGATGATTTTACCTCGGAGAAATCCCGTGTCAACCGAGAAGAAGCGTGGTCCAGATGGGAAACCCTTCCAGATGAAGTCGTGTGCATCCATGGGTGAGCGGCATGTGATAGATAGAACCGACAGTCGTGCACATCCAACATGGGGATACTGGGCACCTTCCAAGGTAGGAGTTGATTTTCAAACAACACCAGGGATGGAATTCAACCAACAAGAGGGGGAAACTCCTACCATTTGGCAAGTCAACAATCCAAGCATCACGACAACGCCCCCACACAGCCCCCAATCCCGAAACAACACATTTGGGCTTCAGCTGGAACGGAGCGTTCGCAAGACTTTGAGGCGAAAGGAGCTTGGGAAGATGGAGGCTCCCGAAACCATGATGACATCAATGAACAGGACACCATGCAGAGGGCTACACGAGCCCTAAAATCACTGAACATCGCGAAACACCAGCTACAGTACCTGACACTGGGCATGCCAGGATGTCATTGAGAGCCAGTTTTCGATCGACCAGTACTTCGAGTTCATTTTGAGCCGCGGACCCAACTGTGTCGCGCATGTGGTGCAGACTGGGAGACATTGGAGATGGGATAGATCCATAGATATGGAAATAGGAATTGCTTTGAGACTAAGGGATTTAGAGATCACTCCTCTTCGGGCTGACCTTGTTCTTCAAAACGCTGACCTTGTTCTCCAACTCTTCCACCCGTCCGAACCCCTTCCGGTGGGTTCGCCTCGAGCTTTGAGTCGATGTGGTCGGTTGGTCCTGGGCACCGCGGTGCTGGCATGGGGCCGGGCGAGAGGGGGAGGTTCCTTTTTCGGAGAATATCTGAGAAAGAGACGACAGGTTCCCTATTTAAACCACGACAGAATATACAAAACAGATCAAACCGTATTGAAACTCTATTGAAATTGTTTCTGCATATAAACCGTGCATTGAAACTGTGTTGAATACAGTCTGACCTGTCAACATTCCATAACAGCAACAGTTTCTGACGGGTGGTTTCAATCGATTTTCACTTGTTCAACGTCTCATGATTCCGAGTTGTCATTGTGCTGAGGCATGGGCTTTGCCACAGGCATTGCCTTCCAAGTCCCCGTCTTACAGGCGCCGATATGCAGCCTCGCTCAGTGCGTGGCTTTGTTTGGCGTGCGATTTCCCCCATCCACAGGGCATCCAAGATACGCTCTTTGCAAGCTTCATCTGAAAAGGTGTCATTGTAGGACCCAGGCCAACTCTTTAAACGGTCACTCTACACCTGGTTCTTTCAGCAAGATTCCTTTGGGGAAGACTGACCGTGATGTTGCGGTTTCCAGGATCACCAAGAATATATTAGGGTGATTCAGGGTGCATTTCTGGACGGAATCGAATCATAAAACACGTAATCACGTAGATCGAATGCATTTCAACACCAAAAACAGGGATCAAGCACTGATCACAGAGCAATTTTCTTGCCAAACATCCACCATCATTCACCTCTTTGAGGTGAAATACAGATCATCCAAGACTCACCAGGTTCCAAGACTCGCACTGCTCCATGTTTTTCCTGGGTGTCTTCGTCTTTCAACGCGTGAAAAACGACCCCGCAGGTCGCTCTGGGCCTTCTGGGCGTGATCGATTCGCAGAAGCTCTTCGCAGCACCTCGTCGTTGGAAGCGTTGGAAGCAGCAGAGTGTGGCTGTGGCCGTTTTGGGGGCCCGTTTTTGGGAGGGGCCGAGGGTTTTCGAGTTGTTGAGCTATCAGGGAACTTGGACGGAGACACCCCAAAAGCCCCAAACTCACCCCTGGACCGTTTCTCTTGAGACTCATAGCCGGCTCGAGTCTGACAAAGGTCAAGGGGTGTGACTGGCCATGCCATTGGCCAGTCACCAGAAGTTGTACCGCTTCGTGGTTTCGACCCTGAACGAGGTGAGCACTTCGTCGACTTGGTGACCCCAAGTGCTCACTTGCTTCTTTTTTGGTTCACTTACAGCATGCCCATGGGTGTCTGAAAACCACTGGTAGAGGAAAACACTCTTCCAGGGGACCATGGTCATCTCTTTGCTGATATTCAGCCATTGTTCGCCCGATTGCCCCTCAAAACCGCCGGCCCCGGCCAGATCTGGCGTTACGTGGTTGTGGGCAGCGCCATCGCCCCTCGGTCGAAAGCCAGCTGGGAAGCTGAGTCCAAGCTGAGTGGCTTCATGGGAAGCTGCCAGCTTTGGCATGCTTTGGCTGGTCCAAAGAGCGATGCAGTTCCTGAAACCAGGTCCACATTCTCTCACTCGCCCTGTTTTTTGATCCTTTGGGATCAGTGGGTGAGTGCTGGATGACGTACTTTGGGCGAGTCCTGGAAAGTCGCGTACTTTGGAATACTTGGCACTTGCACTGTTTTTGAAAGATCAACACCCTAAACTAGACGGTGGGCTCTATAGACTATATATACTTCCTTGCTTTTGTTCGTTTTCCGCACGTGGCACGTGTCGATGGGTTCCGGTGCACTGTGAGATCCTTCACCTTTCATCCGTCGACCGGTTTTGATCCCCAGCGTACATGGGACCCATGACCCAATTGGCCCCCCCTCCACACATGGGGTGTTGTTTTCGGTACGTACTCCGGTCTTCCGAATTTTGTTGGGTCATACTGTCTGGTGTTTTGCTCGTTCGCATGGTTGAAACGAAAATCGCTGAGCATTCACCCCGCCCTCTCAAGATCGATGAATCTCCGTGGAGTGCAACTCAAACACTCCAAGAGTCCTCTCTTGGATGAAGAGCAGCCTAGTCAGAGCCCGCCTCCCTGGCTCCCTTCGTGGATCCATCGCCCATCCACCCCCTCCCTCCCTCGCCTCGCTCGAGCTCCAAGCTCCACAGCGACCAGGTGGGTGCCATCCTCACCCCCAGCACTGACCCAGTGACCCAGCTCCTGCTCTCGGGCGCTCTGCCGGGACGCCCGAGACGCCAAGGGGTGTGAGAATCCGTCACCGGAGTGGCGCGAGCCGGGAAGGGGGCGCTCTTCTTCAGCACTACATGGGACGAAAGCCCCATGGCTCAACAAACAAACATGGAAAGGTGTGTCGGATTGGGACAAGGTGTGTTATAGCATGGGATTAGGTGTGTTCACCCATAATTGACGTGTATTGCCCACGGCCAAATGGATAGCCTCGATCAGTTGATGAAAAAAGCTGGGAGAGGAAGCAGAGGAATCCTTGCCCCCGTGATTCCATGATTTGCAGTTCCAATCAAGTAGCATTTCAGGTCACATGCGGCTTTGGATGGGCATCAGCACTTTTCGGAATCCTGTTGCTTGAGTCAGAAGTTGTGGACACTTCCTCTGACACCAAGCTTGTCAGGAACACTGAACGCTGCCTTTGCTTTAAAAGTGGATTGCAGCTAGCTAGCTCTTCGTTCGAACATCCCGAATTCCCTCAATCAATGGTCTTCAAACTTTTCCACTCCACTCCCCCCTCCTCTGCACGCAAAGCCTGGTCAATTCTGCCGGCGTCAGGGGATGGCACCCGATGGCACCCTCAAACCGTCCTCGCGCAGCAGCCAGGTGTGCGCTGTACTTCGCGGGGGGCGCTGTCCTGAAAGCCCTGGGCCGGTAACACGAGGGGCTCGCCGCGACTGGGGCCGCGGACTGCTGCGACTGGGCCGGTGTGTCGGAAGCAGAGACGATCTGCGACCGGCCGCGGTTGGACGACTGGCCAAAAGAGAGGAAAAACACACGCAGGGGTTGGGTGTGACGGACGAGTTTGGGATGGTTGGAGGAGTTGCGCTCAGATTTTTGACGGATCGGCGGCATTTGGAGATGTAGGAACCACCATGGCGATGCAAATCAAGGATCCTGCCGGACTTCTCCCGGGCCGCCCCCCGGACTGGGTGGGTGGTTGGGGTGGGCCTGTGTTTTGGGATGCCACATGGATGGTGGATGATGGTGGGCCAAGGAAAACAAAAGGATCCTCCACAGCAACGACCCTGACACTTCCATGTGGGGTCATGTGGGGTGGTTACCAGGCTCAGGGCCATTTTGTTCAGCCCAATAGAAGCCCAGTATAGGATCCAGTAGGTTAATCGACCAGAGCTGCTTTTTCACGGCTCGCCGCGCTGCTCAAGCTGCCCCATCACATGGGCGTGGCTCCATCTCTGCTGTGTGGAGGCCTGTATGGCAAAAAGACAGAAGATTGGGTGTATGGAATTGAAGCGGAATGTCGTGTATCATCACTTGCGTCATCACGTATATCCAGAAGAGAGATCTGACTTTGACGCAATTTCCCTTCAGAGGTGAGCTCGCGCCCAGGAGAGCTACCGAGCTCCGCTACCGAGCCTCCGCATCAAGCCGCCGATCAGCGGATCCGTGGCATGTTCATTCGACTGGGAGCGACTGGGTGGACTGGGTGGGGAAGGCTGAAGATTTCTCATTTGGCTCAAGAGTTTGACCTTGCTTTGCTGCTCAACCAGAGAAAGACGCCGGATCATAGCCCATGCCAGCACCCAGCCTTTTTCAGGAGCTCCATTCCCTGAGAGTCCAACATAATTCACCTGAGCTGCCTTTTTCTTCCATTTCAGCTGTTTCCACCCACCCGCCTCCCGGTGACCATTCTCCTGGTCGCTTCATGAACCCCTAGCTGCTTTAGTTCATAGTTCATCTGAGTCGTTCTTTGACGGCTGCTGCATCCGTCGGGTGGCCGTGACCCCCCCGCGCTCCACTCTCCTCTCCGTTGCGCCATGCGCGCCGTGCGACCACTCCACCCGCTCCGATGACCGCGCGACACCCGCTCCTCGCGACGGCCTCCGCGGGACTTGGGACGCGGTGCGATGGTGTTCTGCAACACCTCGACGTTGGCGGCGATCACGTTGATGATCCACTGTCGACAGAGCCCGTATGTCTGCGAGTTGCGACTTCCTCTTCTGATGGCCACTTGGAGCGATCTTCAGAAGTGGGCCGATATGGATGTTCACTGCATGGGTACACCAAGGTGGACCTAAAACACAGCGACTGCGAGTGGAGCTTCCTCTTTTTCCATGCTGGCTCCCCACAGTTTTTTTCGAAAAAAACATAAGAACTATACCGCCCCAGCGAGGGAAACAATTGAGATCTTCTCCATTCTTCACCCTTGACCACTTGGTGTTGCTTTTGTGAAACCCATGTTTTGTCCAAGGGTGCTTTCCGACACTCTTCCAAATCGGAGTCTTCCTCCGTGTCCGAGGAATACTCTGCTTACTTCAAGAAGACCGTGATTTTGCTGGGCCAGGAGTCTCGTTGGTTACCAGGCGCCGTCTTCTGTCCTCAGGCGGCTGGAGATCCCTACTCGTGCATCGCAGAAGAGATTGCACGGTCCAACAAGTCGGAGGGAAGCTCGGTCGATGGGTGCAAGGCTGTGGGTCATTTGGGTCATTTAGCTGCACTCACAGCCATTTGGGTCGATTTACCCTGCAGTTGACTATGATGGGCTGACATCGTCAATTTGATGCTTTTTTGGGCACTGACCCACAGCCAATGCTATAATGTAGACTCTTGATTAATAAACCACCCCATATGAAGAGGTGTTCAATTTCAACTGGGTGGGATACTAATCAAGAGCCTACATTAATATGTTTTTGAGCTCTTTTTTTGTCTGGTATTTTCCAAATCCATCCGCTTGGACCAAATCCAATGCCTGACCGAAGCGGAGGAATCCTTTATATGCACTTTGACATGAGCCTGTCTCCATGTGAGATGGCTCAGCGCTTGGAGCTGGAGAAGGTGGGCGCTTTTGACTCCTTGTCCGACAAGTACATCAGCTTCGCCGCACTGGACAAATGCAACAAGGATGCTTCGCGAAAGTGCTGAGGTGGTTTGGTGGTTTTATTTAGGGATCCTGAAAGGGGTTTGTCACAATCAACTTGATCGGTTTGATGGATCCGACCAGCTGAGCCAGGATATGAAGTCGAATTGCCGGTGGATTTGGTGGGATGTCAAGAAGAATGAGACCCGGAATCGGATCTTGAGATCTGTCAAGGCCATGAGACAGATGGGAGGACTGGGAGATCTGTCAATCCTCAAGAAGTTGGACAGGGGCATTTGGCGCGGCATGTCAGATCTCTTGTACGTGCCCAAGAAGGTCTTTCCCATCTATGTCGCCTTCGTGGCTCAGCCGGTCAGCGCGCTGTTTTCCGCGGGTGAAATAAGGACTCGCGAAAAAGGATAGGACAATGGGTAACATACTGCAAGATAGAAGATCAAACCAACATTACAGGGAGACAACGGGCTGAGGAAACCGTTTTTGAGCACTAACGACTAAAGGATTAGGGGATCCGGGATACGAACACAGTTTAGCTACAGAAACGTACTATATAGATGACGTGCTTGTTTGATCTTGATACGTAGTGGTTGTTCCTTGTACTGTAACTGCTCAAGAAGAAGCAGCTGGAGCGACACCTCTTGAGAATACTATTTTTTAGTTATCGTTATCGTTGTTTATGTCCCTGTGGTCGTCTGTCACGGTTGTCATCGTTGTCACCACCACCGCCGCCTCCATGGTGGCGTCCATTGTGGTCGTTGTGTTCATGGTCGTGGTATGTCGGGGTCAAGGTCGTCAAGGTCAAGGCTGTGGTTGTTACTGGTTGTTTGAAAAACATGATGTTTGTTTACAGGGCTTGTACCTTGTTCTTGTTCTCTTTCCTGTTGTCGCGCGTACAGTAGATCAACCTCATTCTAGAGACAGATCGACTCATTGTGAGGGTAGGAATCTACAGTCATCGACCGGTATAATGAATTTGTCGCTCCCATGGTTCAGATCTTCGATGATCTCGGGTTATGGCTTTGCCTGTTCCTTCCGTATTGCCTGCGGAATCCTGTTTTTGTTGCTCATCGATGTTTTGGGTTACCGGAATTCAATCCCTTTGGTCCTGTGAAAAGACCAACCAGCCAGCACAACCCAGAGCGCTGAAATCTCCACAGCACATGCTGCGTCCTTACTTTGTAAACACCCTTGGATGAGCAAAACTGGTCGGCGGCGCTGCTGGCGCGGGCGCGCGACGGCGCTGCTGGCTGCGAATGCTCGATCGTTGCAGCACAGGTCCACGCACACCCGAGCTCCGCGGTCGGCGCCGAGGCCAAGGCCTTCCAAAAGGCGGACGTCTTTCACGAGATGGCCTCGCCCACGTTGTTGGCGACCTCTGCGGCCGTCGCCCATGTGGGGAGCCAAAACTTTGGTTGTCGGGGCTCCTGTTGCTCATCGGTGGGACGCCAAGAGATCTTGTCCAAAGGTGCGGGTGAGGTGGTGCGGGTGAGGTGGTGAGGACCGAACGACAAGGGACGGTTTGACATGTGTTCGCTTTTTTTCGTTTGGTTTGAAGAGCAATGTTACGTAATTCAGGTGCTATTGGCATAGGGTGCTTCTCAAATAGTCTGAGTCGAAAACCAAACAATGGTTATTTATTTGTGCAACTTCTAAGACTTGGTCGCTCCTCCGCAAAAATCATACCAGCATACTGTACTGGGTGGACTTTATACAGTTTCAACTTTTCAACCATTTTTTTCAATGCATCGAACTCCAATGTTCATGGATATTGGTTTCATGACACGCCCAGTCTCCGCCGCCTCCGCCCTCTTGCGGAGGTTTCGTGTGTGGGCACAAGGTGGACTATCGCGATGTTGGTGTACTGAAGGCGGTACAGCTCATAGCAACACAGGAACCTCGACCCTTGCATACAGTCCAGCCGGCCTGTGGAGGGATGGGGAAGATTTGGCAGTGTTTGCTGCAAGAAACCGAAGGAAGATGAACAGAAAGTGGGGGCTTTGTCTCACTGTTACAGGGTGACCATGGATAGCGAAAAGCCCCCTCAGCGCCCTCAGGTCCTCCCCTGGCATTGAGAGAGAGAGAGAGAGAGATGTCTTCAATTTGGAGTGTTTCTATATTTTATAGTTCTAACGAGGTCTACGGTCTAACACTCGTACGAGTGGAACAACTATCTGCATCTTTGGACATCGAAGAACTGTTGGGCCGACCGAAACGAACACTGTCAAGTACACTGACACATCGGACACGTGCACCGGAGGGGGGCTCTCGACTCATTGCCTAGTACTTACTAGAGGAGGACCGACCTAGGTGACCTTCCCTGGGGCCATGGCACCACACCAGATGAATGTAGTGTTCCGTGTTTCTTCCGTTTTTCGTGCCCCATGTCCTGAGCTCTTCAGGGATCCTCACTTCGGTCACACCATGCCCGTTTGGGCCCGCACCACCAGCGCGCTGGTGAAAGCCTAAGCTCCGCCGGGCCAGGTGGATTCCCTCGGGCCAAGGGTCTTTGAGCCCCCCTGCGACATGGCCGCCTTACAAGAGGTGACTCTGATCATCCATTGCACTCAGCAGCAGCTCTGCTACAAGAGGCGTTCAATGCTACAGGAATTTGTCTTCTACTTCAAGCGCGTCGCTCGGCACTTTTTTTCTTTTCAGATCGTCTGGTTGTTCAGATCGAGGACTGCGTGGTGTTCAGTTGCTTGTGTGAATGAATTTTCTTCACCCACCTGAATACTCCCATCATCTCCAAACAGCTCTGATTGTAGGTTCTATACAGAAACATGTGTAGGTTCACCCTCTGAGACTCCTACTTCAGCTCCTCCGGATCGAGACTTCTGTATACTCAGACTCCTCACGACCTCCGCACTAGCGAGCTCCCTCCCTCCCCCCACGCGCTCGCGGGACCTCGGTGCGTCGTTTGCGTGACCGGTGAGGTGATCTTTCTGATGCGCTCGAAGATGTGGACGTTGAGCCACACGTGTTCCGGGGAAGCTTACGCCTGCGTGGCGGAGGAGATGAAGCACATCCGGATGAACGACGACACGAGGAGCGAGAGGGTGGATCCGGTCCCAGGGATTCTGTACATGAACTTTGACGTGGGGATCTCTCCTTGTGAGATGGCAAGGCACTTGAATGTGACTAAGATTGGCACCTTTCAGGAGCTAGCCAAGAAGTACATGACATTCGAAGAGTTGGATCAATGCTCTTTGAATCGATCGAGGTGTATGTGGGATGCTTGGCAGGTGAACCACAGCAAAGCGCAGATCCTCAATGCCTCGGGACGGTTGGAAACACTCCTTGACAGTGCGTTCGGCTCAAAAACCTCGCTGACTCAGACGACCGTGGCGCTACTCCAGCGGAGCTTGAGAGAGGGCACCTGGATGGGCTTTAGTGGGCTGTATTACCTTCCGAAGCAGGTGGGGCGCTGGGCGGTTCAAACTCTGGGGTTCTCCACGGGCTCTCCCGTGGAGAACGTTTCTTTTTCTGGGCCCCTCGGAAACCATGTTTTAGGCGGATTGCTTTTCGAGCAGCAGTTCGAAAACACCTTTTTTGATCGCTACGGATCGCAATGGAACATGATCCAGAGCTCATTGTCGAGTGATCCAGAGCTCGGGTCAAGAGCGAATATATGGGTGTTTGTTTAATTTGTCGGATGTTTCAACAGTCTTTCAGCCTGTTTGCGAGTGCTCAGGTGTATCCCGTATTTCAAGGTTTGGCTGCCGCCTTTAAGGAGGAGAATGTGTCCAATGAGAGTCTCTTCGGCATGAGTGTCAACCGGGTGTTATTTGGGGTGAAAGAATCCGGGAACCAGCAAACACCGCAAAGTGTGGGATGCCTTCTATCCGCGGTGCTACAGGTTTTCTTCCATCAACAGTAGCTGGCGAACACTTCAACAGAAATCAGCCAGACTGAGGTTTTGTCCTGTAGTGACCTAATTGCTTTTGGTTGGACGAAGGAGAGACAAGACAGGAAAAGACCAATTTCGTCTCTATTGGGGGTACGAGCCGCCAGAAACCAGGGTAAGTGAATAGCCAAAAAGCAGTCTGCACATGTCTGCACTATCTTGCAGGGAGCGCTTCCAGCATCTGCGCAAGTGCAAAGGTGTGTGGGTCAAATCAGACATCAGCAAATCAGGCATGAAACATCAACCCCAGCTTTTTTGGTGTTTTTGGTTTTTGCACCTCTACATCACCCAAAAGCCGCAGTTGTTCTTGCTTTTTCTGCCACCACCTGATATGGTGACTGCCAATCCTTTGGCTGAGGATAGCATCTCCCAGCTTGTTGGCTTTGACATCCATCATCTCCCAGGTGGAACTTCAAAACTTCAACTGCAAGAATGACCCTGCTCATCTTGGTGAACGAGAGATTCTCTCCAAAGGCTTCCGATGTGCCTCAGTTGATGCGATGGAGAGAATGAGTTCATCGACATTCGCAGGGTTTTTTTGGGGGTCAAGGTCCGGTCTATCCGAGTCTATCCTTTCTTCCAGCCATCCATGAACAGCTGTGCATTGCTTATTGTTCTTGGCTGAGAGAACTCCGTCTTCTGAGGGTTGAAGAACCAGGTCCCGGCGGCCAAACGACCAACAACTCCTGGTTCTTCAAGTGACCCAGACTCAGATCCGGGAGTTGAGATATGTTGAGATCACTGGAGAGCCCTAGAGTTGACAACTTTTTGCCGAGCTGGGACACTTACAAGATCTTACAAGCCTCCAAAATGGTCCCTTTGAAAGCGCGCCGCGCCCTTCGCGCTCGTGCGGCGGAGTAGCGCGAAGAAACCGAGCCAAGCAAGGTGGGCGGGGCTTGGAACGCGATGCAAGGATGAAGGGCTCCATGAAAGGCTTGGAGGATTTGCTGGCTCATCCTGCGATTCTTGGCCTGAGCCAATATATAGCCCTGTATAGCTGTATTCCTTTTTCAGACAACGATGGTGGATTCAACGTCCCGCCCGAAACTCTGGTCGATCTCATCGCTGCCTTCGCCATCCTTCGCCTGTGTGTAGCACTCTCAGGAAGTATTCGATGCCCAAGAAGAAGCCCTCCATGGCTTTCTGCAACACTTCCAGCTTGGCAGAGGTCACCTTGGTCATCCACTGCCGGCAGGAGCCGCCGATCTGCCGCTTGCGGCTTCCTCTCCTCTTAGACTCTTGGGATGAGGATGCGTCGGAGTGTTGAGGGCTTGTCTATTGATTCTATTGTGATGGGATAATTCATTAATTCTAAGACATGCCCTCCAATTTTGTCAATCGCATGATATCGCATGTCTTTTCCAAGACTTCAGTGTGCGAAAAGAGTCCAGCCAAGGAATACTCTGCTTACTTCAAGAAGACTGTGATCTTCTTGACCAAAGATCCTGGCTGGTTGCCGGGTGCCGTGCCTTGCCATCGTGTTGGAGATCCCTACTGGTGCATCGCAGAAGAGATTCCTCGGTCCAAAGATTCCAGCGGAATCCTCTACATGCAGTTTGATGTGGGTCTTCTGCATGGTTTTGTGTGGGATGCTTTTCTTGTTTTCCGTTGGTGATAAACCTCCTTCTCGAATCTTGTAAGGGGGAATCGGGTATATTGCTTTTACACGCTTTTGTTTTTTTATTGGACATGTTTTCCATTACAGCATTCCAATGCAAGGTATGTCTCCCCTTTTCTAGGGAATCTTTGGAATCTTTGCCCAAACATAGTGTTCTACCTTTTGTATCTTTTGGTTTTGACACCATATGCTTCTTTGAGCCAATCAAAGGTATGTCTCCTTGTGAGATGGCTCGACGTTTGGATGTGGGCGCGGTGGGCACCTTCGAAACCTTGTCCGACAAGTACTCCACTTTCGCCCAGTTGGATGAGTGCAACACCAACTTAAAGCTGCGGTGTTTGTGGCATCATTGGGACATGAAGCGGAACTCCACCAGGACAAGGTTGTTGAAAACTGCCAAGGCATTGGATGAAATCAGTTCGACACTTCCATTCGCCAACACTTCCATTCTTCAGCGGTTGGAGACTGGGATTTGGAGCGCGGTGTCGGACTTCTTGTACTTGCCCAAGCAAGCCTTTCCCGTTTATGCAGCCTTTGTCACTGGGCACCAGAGACGAGGGGGCACGTGGAGACGTCGGGGGAGGAGAGACGTGCGGAACCTCCCGGTTTTGGAGAACTGTAGAGAATGTTTCAAAAAAAAGGTCTGGAGTTACTGTGTTTTCACACACAGATTTGGTTCGTTAAATCAGGAGTCTTCGAGTCGTGAAACGAGGCCAAAGCCTTCAAAGAGAACAAGATTTTTCACGAGATGGCCTCGCCGACCCTGCTGATGACCTCCGCCCGCATCTCCAACGTCCCGATGCAGAACTTCCGCTGCCGCGGCTCATGTTGCCGACACGTGCAGCAGGAGGAGATCTTGTCCAAAGGTGCCGCGCTCCAAGAAATCGGCTCGTTTTTTGCGGGGGGAGCGGGTCGTGGAGACGTATATATGTTTCCAAGATCCAATTTTTGACCTGGTGAAGGCCGTATTGATACCAAAACAGAGGTATGCTGGAAAAGGTATGCTCAAAGTCGCGTGTTCGTCGCGTTTGGTGGGTCCATGCGACGGATCGGCAGGGGTGGGTCCATTTGGGGCAGTTGGGGCCTCGTCGGCGACGATCAAGGGCTTTTCATCTGGACGATGAACAGCTTGACTGATCAATCAATTCATATCAATTCAATCAATTCAGAAGGAATGAGTATGGTTAGGTTCTGACGTGTTCTGACTGTAGTTGACTAGTCTTGAGGTTGCTCGTAAAGGTTGGTGCGTTGACCAGCCCATCCAAAAGAATCCAAAAGATTGCCAGCAAATTGGAGGTCCGTTGCTAGCTAGACCCTGTCGAAGGGATTTGGCCATGGCAATCCCTGCCAGAATTCACCAATGTGAAGCTGTGGCATGCTGTGGCCATTTCCCCATTTTTTGTTTGCTCCCATCCAGGCCTATCCAGGCGTTCGGGTGCAACCGTACAAAAATCCACTCAAATGCGCATAGCCAGTCCCTGGGCCAGTCCCAGTCCGGGCATCCGTTGCCCCCCAGCGCCATCCGGCGCCGTCCCAAGGTTTCATTTGTGGACACAAGGCCCCCGGGTGCGGACCGTGGGCGCGCGGGGCGAGCATGGGGGGTACCAAGTGGTGGGCGTCGGGCGTTCCAACAGTTGTGGCACCGTGTCCCAGGGTAGGGGAGACGTGTGTTGATCTATTTTGTGGAGAAAAAAGACAGGTCCGCCGGTGCCATGACGCCATACATATATTAGATAGCCATCCCCAAAGCCATCCCAAAAGCCTCAAACAGCCATATAGTCATATAAGCCCAGCCCATATAGTCATATAGCCATCCAGTCTCAAAAACCTGAGGGAAGCACGGAGAGACGGAGGTGCCTCCGGTCCGAAGAGACGATGGAAGCAGACCCGGGGTGGTGCTCCCGCACTGTGGAGGTGCTTTTCAACCAGGAACGTTACCACAGATGTGGCACCCAGCGGGTAGTCAGCAAAGAAAAGCACACTCTTCCTTTTCCTCACTTGATAGTTGGCTTAAAATTGCCCATGGTCACATGGGGGGGCCAGAAAGGGGGGAAGTGGTCCAGCACCTGTGCCAGGTGAGACTTCAAGATGACTGTCACCGAAATGCGTTACAGCTCCTGGCCACGCAGGAGCCTCGAAATCTCCGCACTGTTGCCCGGCGAGAAAAAGACATATATGGTCATATCTCGTATACATATAGCGCGTACATAGCCAGTGTCAAGTTCCACAAATAAACATGAGTAGTGGCTTTTCTGGAGATGTTCTCATGAGTAGAGTTCCACAAATAGACATACTGTAGTATAGTGTCAAATTCCCATGAAATACCAGTGGCATTTCTTTTTTTCTGTGGGATTTCTCAACCACTGGAACGACGAAGTCGCTCGCCCGGGCCGACCTCGACCGTGCCCCGTGATGCCGACCTCGGATTTCGGTGGACCCATGATTTCGGTGGTCCAGGTGGAGACGTCAAAACCTCAACTCAACCTCTGGATGAGGATGAGGACACTGTTGGTTGGCATGAAAAAGACCTCTCCTCTCAGGTCAATGCCAATGCGCCGCCCGTTTTTGCTCCACCGTGTGAAATGGCTGGGCTGGACAATGTGACACTGATCATCCACTGCAGTGAGCAAGAACTCTGCTATGCCAGGCGTTTGTTGCTACAGGATTACTTCTTGTACTTCAGACATGTGGCTGGGCTGTGATCCGTGACATTCTTTATTTCTTCCTTTGAGTTTTCAGGGGTTGGGTGGCCCGCAGGTCCATATAGGAACATGGTAGACTCGACCGTCGGAGTTGGGTTCATTCCTGGGGACGCCGACCGTGGCGGCGAAACGGAAGACGTGGGAGGCTGAAAAGGGGTCCATCCGACCTTGTGAATCTCTGGTGTTTTGGAAGTCAGCCTGGCTGTGACCAATCAGGTGATCTTTCTCACTCCTAAAGGCCTTCCATGGAGTCTGGCACGCACTTGTGCTGGTGAAGCCTACCAATGTGTGGTGGACGAGCTCGAATCGAGCTCTTCCGTGAACTCAAGGGGAATCCTCTTCTTGAACTTTGAGGTTGCCATGTCTCCTTGCGAGATGGCAAGACACTTGGAAGTGGACAAAGTCGGCACCTCTGAAGAACTGCGGAATACCACTTTTGCCAAGTTGGATGAATGGAATAGCAAGAAGCTGACACGGCAACAGCGGTACTGGGATGCTCAAAACAAGACCAGGACACAGATCATGAATGCCGTTAGAAGTCTCCTGGATTTGCTGAACAAAACGACACTTCAGACTGGTAGACTGATTTGCGCGGTTCTTCTTTTCAGTGCACCATTTCCTTTTCTGGACCCTTCAAACGACCGCGACTTGGTTGTCCTCAATGGTTGGCCTCTCTCAGAGCCCAGGTCTTGACATGGGCCTGGAGGGCTGGGCTGTGCAAAGCCTGAGGAATGGCTCCATTTTTCGTCTCTTCAGCGGCTTCTTCTACCTTCCGCAAAAGGCCGGCCGGATGGTTTTTTTGGTTCGCCGTCTGGAAGCTCCCCAGACATGTGGCGAGCTACTACCCGTCTGACCCCTGTATGCTCTCCTGTGTTTGCCAAGCCCGATATGCCATGTATCCGGCTAACCCGCGTGCTGCCAAATTGACTTTCTTTTCTAAGTGGGATGTTAAAAAGTTTGATCAGGATCCAGAGTATTGGCAAGGTGCTCATTGGTAATTGGAGACCTGAACCAGCTGAAAACAGTGCAAATTCACACTGGAAGGACTGGTGTTGGTCGGACCCTGTGGAAACGTCAAGGCAATGCGTGGCAGAGCACCTGCTTGCACAAGCTAAGCAACGGGTGTTGCAAACATTTGACACTACCAGTTATGCAGTCCAATAGCGCACGGAGTCACGGAGGAGTGCAAAGGAACAGTTGAATGACACTTCATGACTTGTAGATGTTTCATTGAACCCAGCTGCACCGACTTCTAGTGCCACAGAGACAGCTGTTCCGGTGAAAAACCGGTCACCTTTTTGGCACCGCACCGACCGTTCCGGGTTCCCCTCCGGAACCGTCGGGTGGGCGCACGGGATAGCACGGGCGCCCACCGAGCACGGAGGAGTTTGAAGTGCAGCATGCGATTGGTTCGATATGGTGCGATGTTCTTCGAGGTTCTATGTCGGTGCTTTATGTATACGTATGATGTTGTATGTCAACAGAGGTCCCCCATGATGAACATCCTGCAAGGTCTGCAACACTCCAAGTTCTATATCGTCACCTTTCGGGGAGACACCGAGCTCTAAAGAAAGCCGTGTTTTCGGTGGCCTGGGTGGCCTGGGTGTTTCCACGGCGCCGGGCGACGTGTTTGGTCAGGCCTTCCCCATCTTCAAAGCTGCGGCACCGATCTTGAACGAATGGAATCTGACCCATGCGACGCTTAGCCATTAATCGATTCGTGGCCATCCGTGGATTTGGGGAAACCCAGACCCTCGACGCCTCGTGGGTCGACTCCGTCGACGTCGGCACGCGGTCGGTGTCACCGCGAAGAACCGGCCCACCCACTGCTACCGCTGCGGTATAGCAGATCCAAAAGGGGAGGTGAACTCGAGCACAACGGGATCGAATCCAGCGACATCCATCGTTCTGATGTCAAGCGTCGAGATCGAGATCTGGAGGAGGGCATCAGGTCAGGGTATCCTCCTTCTGAGGTCATTCATTCCCGGTCACAGTCTCAACATGGACCAACTCGGGTGTGAATGATGTCTGGGACCTTCCTCCTTCAGACGTCTGGGAACCATTGGGTTGTGGGGTCTCAGACAGCCTCACTGTTTAACAAACAAATTGTCCTTTTCCTTTTAAAGGCCCTAGGCCTGCCATGCAGACAGTTCTTCGACAAGCACTAGTAAAGTGAGTCGTTCGGTGGTTGGCCCAATGATGTCCAATGCAGGCATTGGACCGACAGTTTGGTCCCGGGAAAGCGGTGGACGGCAGAGACGATCCGAAGGGTCAGTGTTGCTTGGTGGGGAAGAGCACCAGGCCGGCGCGCTACACAGATGAACCAACTCAGCTCAGGAAACGAGGTCCCGCCGTCAAAAAACCGTATTTCGTCATGATCCGTCATTCATGCTATTCCGACGTTGCCCAACTGTTAAGGTTTTCCCAGTGTTCCCAGAAACCACCAGCCTGGGCCTCCAGTCTTCATTCATATTTCTCTTCCAGCCGACGACAAACAGGCCGAAATGGGTGGTTGGGCCCTAAGAGGTCGAACCATTGGTGACGCAGTGAAGTCGGGTGCTGGTTTACTTCGTTTACTGTATTCTTCATTCATGATAGTCAGTCCTTACAGTATTTCCTCATCAAAAAAGGGTTTTCCTTCCCTTTTGGGCTCCAACTATAGCGCGTTCGGCTCGGTGGTTGGGGTGGGCGTGGGCTTGGGGGGTCTAACCACCGAACCTGAGGAGATGGGACAGGTGCCCCTAGGGCTTATTACTCAGGTTTCCTGACAAACATGTAACTTTGAGCCTCGGGATTCCCTCGAGCCACTGAAAACTGTTGCCAGAACGCTCAGGATTGCCGTGCCCTTGCTGCTGGCCTTGTCGGCCGGCCAGGGGGAGCTTCAAAATCTGGGCTGTGCCAAGCCAATCAAAAAGAAGAAGGCCTCGGAGAGGGTTCTTCTGTGGAATCTTGAACCTACCGAAGGCGCTTACTTATAAGGGGTGCCCAATGGAGACCGCGAACGGAAGCAGCCCCTAGGCGATCTTCAAGTCTTTCTGTTTGTTGTTGGAAGTGTTTCATTGGCAGTCCACGCAGGAGGGTGAGTACGATCTGCACGCCAAAGGCTTTGTTTGTGCCTTGACCTCGCTGGGTGGACGGTGGTGTTGGGGAATTAAACAAAGCAGAGCTTCAGATGTTTGTTTCATCGGAAACGGTGAAATCTATAGTACGACTCCTCTAGTTTGTGCATGTTTGTACAGAACTGTAAAGATGTGGACAATGCGCAGATGAGTGCTTGCACTCCTCTGAAGCTCGAATCTGATGCATCTCGATACATGTGAACAAGACCAGCTCAAGAGGGGAGAATCGACCTCAAGAGAGGTCCTCACACTCGTTTGGCCAATCAAGGCACCTAGCTGCTCGGGCTTGCTCGGGCTTGCTCGGGCTTGCTCTGGAATTCTACCAAAATCCAGAGATTCCATTGTTATTCCAGAAGTTGCAAGCACTTATACAAGAAGGTTATAGGTATAAGAAGGGTATAAGTTGCAGGTCCTATAGACATGAGCATTTAGACGGTATAAGTCGCAAGCATTTGTTGGCGACCCCCGGTTGTTGATCGAGCCTGGTGGTTAGCAAGACCAGGTACCGACCACGATCAGAAACTGACCACGTTCAATTGATTCCATATTCAGAAAGATGGGCTCCAAAAAAAGTCTTAGCTGATGCGAAAGATCGAAGGTGAACTATCAAGGTTTCAAAACTTTTCACTCCACTCTGAGGCGAACTATTTATGGGTCCCTCTAAAAAGTTGAGGTCAAAAAAACGCAAGTCTTCGCGCGCCTTTCGTCTTTATGGATCCCCCTTGTGTCAGGTCCAGAAAAACGAACGCATGGCGCGCGAAGACCCCGCGCCCGCCCGCGGGGGCGGGTCCCGAACGAAGCCGGTGGGACCTGGGACCTCTCAGGTGGGCGTGGCATTGAACATGACGTGCCTGCGATGAACGGTTTGGAGGAGCTGCTTTGTGCACCCAAGAACCTCTTGGCTGCAAACAGTCGATTCCGGTTCGTAACGGTTGGAGAACTCCGTTGTGACGTCACAGGTGACGCGGGTCCGGAGGGAAGTGACGCGATCAGCGCACGTTACGACCATGGGACACCATCGGAGTACCGCCCCAGTTCAGGTTGATCTGGTCATATGCACGATTGAACAGTATGTCCAAACACATCCAAAATCATCCACGATGCCGGACCTCATTTTCTCAACTGCAAGGTTTTGCACCATTTTTTTGCGGAGGTCCCTTCCCATTGGTGATGCTTCGCCGAACCAGGGCCCTTGGACCCATCGTTCCATCTGACGAAGGAAATACCTGGCGCCGGAGCTCCTGACACAGCGCGAGCTGCCTGTGTTAGACCCCGGGCTGCGGACCCGGAGCTCGTGGAATCTGGAGGACCTGGCGAGGACGGGTGCCGCTGAAAAGGGCGTCCTCGCGTCGTCCTTGGAGTCGATGTCGATCTTTTTGCTGGATGTTTTCTTGGTGCGAACGCAGTGGTTGCTATAGGATCTTATATTGGGAAAGTGCTTGGATTGTAGCTCTCTTGGTGCTGATTCTCCTGTGGATTTGCATGCGAATTCTACGACTTCGGCGCTGGAGAGCTACATGAGAGGATGATGATCATGTCATCTCGTTCGATGTACATAGAGGGTTGATAGACAAGAGATTTGCAGCACTTCATCACCTGACGATTTGCCCAGCTGTCCTTTATACTAAGTATTATTCTTGCACATATAGTATATTTGTTCAAATGTATTTGAGGCAGATCTTCTCTGTCAACATAAGGGTTCTCTGGTCGGGCGCAAGAAATGCGCGAGAATGGAACCTGGCCAGGGTACTCGGTAGATCTCCTGAGACTCTGAGAGAGGTGGAGAGAAATGTCCCGCATTGGGATGGTGTCTGACTGGGGAACTTCTGGTACAGCCAACTGGTCACTACTGGTTTGTCAGTTGTTATTTTTCTCGGAGTCCATTTCTTTTCATGGGGTAGATCAGAGAGATTGCTCTGTAGTAGAGGCCACTTCTTCCTTGACAGAAGTACTGTTAACAAGAATGGAACAGCCGGCAAATTCACTGCACCCCCTTCGATCTATAGTTGACAAAACATGGAATGTCCTAGGACTTGGAACCTGCCGGACTTCGGCCGGGTCCCGCGGGTGTCCTTCGCTTCGAAGCGTCCGTCGTCGGTGCAAGTCGGTGTCACATGCGGACGGGCACGTATTGCCACGGGAAGGGCATCACCGGCAGGTCCCCCTCTGTGTCACACAAGATTCAGGTCCCTGAACGAAACATCACATTTTTCAGGCCTATGGAAGACAAACCTTCCCGTGTCAAGACAGACAAAATCATGGAACCCCACGAAGCCATGTTTGACAAAACTGTCTTGACACATCGAAACATATCAACAGAAGAACAGCCAGGTCTGCAGCTACGTGGAAACTGGACACACTAAAGCCAATACAGAAAAAACACACCGTTGCGTTTCAATCACGCACTGACCCGAAACCTGACCCCGTAACAACCTTCAACCCTCAATCCACGGAAGCCCCCACGACCGAGGAACTTGTCAGCTTGGAACCTTGGGCCCATTGCTCAGAGGTCTAAGCCTTTCACTGCTTATCAGGAAGAAAGCCTAAGAGGTCCAAGAGGTCCAAGCCGAAATCACTGGGCGCCATCAGATCGTTCCCGATCAGGAAGCCGAAGCCTGCTATTGCCTTGCTTTTGGATGGCGACGGTCTATCTGGTGAGAGAGCCCAGATCCAGAAGAGAGTGGTCCCCCGCGACAAGGCTGTGAACATCTTTGTGCACCAGTGGCACCGGATACACCACAAGGGTCTGAAGGATAGAGTGCATTTATCAGAAGACTAGCAGGTGGTTGCTTTGTCTTTGTAGACCTTCTTTGTCCATTGAGCAACAAGGGGGCCAGTGGCTGAAAAGAAAGACATTCACAGAAAAGAAAGCCATTCCCACCACGCAGACATCCCCCTGAGCAACCCATCAGCGCACAAACCCATGCGGAGAAGGAAGAACCGCTTTTGTAATAAGCGTTTATAATGCACACGGTTTATGGAATGCCTGTAAAGGCATCAAACCCAAGAATGCAGGGGTATTGCTTTTGTAATAAGCACTCGTTTTTGAAGATCGCATAGACTTCCGGTGAAAAGGGCCGGACGCTTCATCGGAAGGTCTGCATGTGAACACCGGAGAGACTGACATGGGGAGGAACATGTGGGCACCGGATCCATTAAGACGGAGTGGTCTTCCTTCGTCCACCGATGTGATTCGATGCGCCAGGGGGGGCAGTGGCTTTGTGGCCAGGGCGGCAGGCAGGGAGTGAGGTCTTCACGCTTTGGGATCGGGGACCAGTGACCTCTCCCTGCAACGGTTCACGCGACGGTTCACGGATGTCCCGGACCCGTGACACGACATCTGAAGACCCGTGACATCGGCGGGGGTCAGTCCACGTCACCATCACTTAGTTTCAGGGAATGAATGTATTGTTCCCAAGCCGTGGTTTGGGCAGGACACACATCCGCGGTTTTGGGAACCCACCGGTTATGCTCCAAGACTTTTTGTGCCAGCTGGCCCTAGCTGGCTCAAAAGACAAGGCAACACAGATCACAGACCAAGAGTGGCTGTGAAATTTGAGCATTTGCAGCGATTTTGCCCCTACACCACTGGGAACATTTTGAGCAGATACAATCACCGCAAAGGCTCGAATTTATCAAATGTTCGGAAGTTGCTGAAGCAATGAAATCAGCAGTTTGCCTGATTCTTCATAATGTCTTGCTTGAGGCTAGCTACTTTTGTTGCTTGAATTCGACTCGATGCCCCGCTTTCGGTCTCGAAGCCAACTTGATTGAGTCAGCAGAACCGAGCTGCAAGATGCAAGATGCGATTCCTGCACTCTCCCAGAAGCTGCAGGAAGAGACAAGGAAGAGAGACAAAGAAGCCTTCCTGCATTGAGTTTGTTCCCAGGAATTTTGTAATGACTGCAAGATCACACCAACATCATCAGCACTCCGAGGGCAGTGTATACACGAGGCACATAGCAGATGTCATCAGATGTCTTTAACCACACACACTCACACCAGTATACATACCATTTATACACCAACATACACCAACCCTGACCGAGCTCACCGTGGCCAATCACCGTCGCCAAACTTGCGACATCTCATGGGTTGCACCCAGTCTCGCTTTGCGACGCCTGCATATCGGGCACTTGGTCCTTGCCTCAGTTGTCTTCACCTCCCAATGAAGAAACTTAATCATTCTTGAGTTAAAGAAGTTGAAAGGACGACAAGTGCAAGAAGTGCAAGTCAGGCACTGACCTTCATGACTCAATCTTAGAGTTCTGGAAGTGGGAGCTATTGAGAGTTCTGGTCACCGTTTTCCGCCCCGGGCAGCCCCAGGTGATCTGGAAAACGGCGCACGGTGTCTGGTCACTTCTGAGGCTGCATGTCCACCGTGTCCACCGCAGCTGGAATGCAATTAGTTCAGTTGTTGCAAGCTCTGGATGTTGGCCAAAGGGATCCAAAGGGCGGACTTGCAACAACACAAACCGCAACACCATACTTTGGTTGTAAAGATCCCTTGTTGCTGGAGATGTGTGAGACATCACCGGAGGCCTGGGCCTGGGCCGTTCCGAGTGGTGCGGTCCCGGTGCGGTGGAGGATGGGGTGAGAATAGATGGAATGTCCGAGTCGGTGAAGGACCATGTTCGACCGGTTCATCTGGATGTGGTAGTGAAAAACATGGAAAAAACAACTTTTTAGTTTTAGTTGTAGTTGTTTGGTAACTAGGCTATGAAATACATGGTGGGCCACGACTTCTAGGGTGGATATATAGGTACCTGGCCTGGCATCGACTCCTCTCTTTTTGGCAGAAACCGGTCGGACGTCATTGGGAGTCCGATTCCAGTCCAAACCGGGCGTTTCCGAAAGCTTTGTGATGCTGACTTCTGGGTATGTTTGGATATTCACACAAACTATTTAGTTGGCCAGTATGGAAAAACACAAACAATCTATAACAATATACTGGTCCCTTTTGTACATTAAGTGCATATAACATCAACCATGCATAACATGAAATGGTCCCTTTTGTTTCTATGTCCTTCCATGTCCTTCTTTCGGGAACAGGACCCAAACGCCGAGACGCCGAGACGCCACGGTGACCGACTCAATCCTTCAAGGTCCGAAGAACGAGCCGGTGACCTGGCGGTTTGACCGAGCGGTGCGGAACAGAGGAACGAAGCAGGGAATGGCCATGGACATCCAGCCGGAAACAGCCAGGGCCATGGCCATGTGTTGCGAGAGGCCATTGGGTTTGGCGGTTTTGCTGCGACGAATTGAGGTGAGACGGGCGCCACCCGAAAGATCATTTCTGGATCAGTCCAAGAGCGCCAAGAGCCTCTGGGATGCAAAGAATGCGAAGAAGCAACATGTTAGCAGGACTTCCGTCACACTTGGTGCAGCGGTTTGCAAAGAAAACATTGGATACCATGCTATATCCTACTTGAATCCATTTAAACTATAGAATTCTTATCTGAACAGACTCACTTGGAGGTTCGAGGCTTCAAGCTCATTCGCTTAAGAGAGACACATGCTTCTTCGAGTTCTCCCCTCCCGCTTGGTTCGGATGCAAAACCCGATGGCAGTTCCTCAAGTCACATCTCAGGCGGCCGACCGATCGCTTCATTACAGCTCGAGTGGTCCATGACCTTAACTCCACAGAGTTCGGTTTGCTGCTCACCTTGGAACTGGCCAACGCGCCGAGTTCGCCTGCGGAGCAGTCCGCGGAGCAGAGCAAGTTCACTTTGGTGTCACCGGATCAGCTCGCAGAGCTTCTGGAGACGTCCATCGAAATCACCCTCAGATTGGAGGAAGATGAGCAAATCTTATGTTTTCGTTTTGATGAGGCGAAAGAAAGCACAGCACTGGGTGTTTCCTTATTTTTTCATGGTTTCTTCGTTTTTGTTAAGCCTTTGGATAATCTTTTGACGGTGAAAGCGTTGAAGTGCGATCGACGCGACAACCCCTGAGGTGAAGCACAACAGTGGTTTCAGTATCTTGCCTGGACGTATGGACTGTAAGTCTTCCAACTATGCATGAACACGGATGATTGGTTGGGTATGGTTTTCGCATGTGTTCAAAAAACCGCCCGCTTTTTGTGGCAGAACTCTGCCAGTAAGGCATTTATTACCATCCGCAAGTGGCCATCTCACGTGACGTCGAGGGACAACTCTCTCTGAGACTTGAGCGTCTCTCAGGGCACCTGGAGTGGCCTGAACCTCTCCTCCGCGGACAAGTGCTTCTTGTTGAGCGACAAAGAGGAATGTCAATGACTGTTGCACAAATGGTTGGTATCCTAACATATGAGCGCTCATATCCTAACATCCCGCACAGCTTTGTATCCTAACAGGTTTCTTTGGATTTTGCTTGTGAGTCTGTACTTCACCAACCCACGTCCAGGCTACAAGTGCCTGACACGTCCAGCGCGGTGCCATTGTGGACGTCAGATGTGGCGTCCGCTGAAGAGGCCATCGCCACGCTCCGGACGATGAAGGGACTGAAACGGGATCACTTGCTCGGGGCTAAGAGGCTGTCTTCAACATGGAGTGTGCGGAACCTGACTGGACAATCGACCATGTTCCTTGGCAGATGTTGTTTTAGATTCCAACGGAACACATTCTTCATGTTCCATGCCTGGACCAAGGTTTTGGATTGACCTCCTATGTCTCGATTGCGCGACTCAGTCTTCAGTCGATCTTCCTTGCACTATCGAACAGCAGGTTGTTAAGGGCAGCCGACGGTTAGCCAACGCCAGCTTGAAGTTATATTTAGACCCGACCCCCAAATAGAAGGCGAAGGTTTGATCGGCTCAGGAGAGTGTGTATTGTGTAGACTCTTGATTAAACCCCCCCATATATGATATAATATCATATATATGATCCCTGCAAGTCCGAAGTACTGGC